GAACCGGCCCGGTCCGTTACAAGTATGGTTTTTTAGAGGAAAATCCCAATAAACTTTTAATAAAATATGCAGAACCTCATGAAAATTTGAAAAAACTGAAAATTTGCGAAATATCGAAATCCTGTGTTTCAAACTCTTGGTCTAAAAAAAGTTCTATTCATTTTTGCAATTCTCGCTGAAACTGCTATTTTTAAGGATATGAGACATATTTTTCAATTTTTCAAATTTTCATATTGATCAATTGTAAAACCTCTATTACAAGGGCCCTCTAGGAGTATTTTGGAAAAGTGCCCTTCTAATACAGGCTTTGCACTACATTTTTTTTCTGCCCATCTTTCTGATTTCTCTAGCTTGGATTATAATGTAGCCTTCAGTAATTCATCTGTATCCTTCTCTCTAGTCTCTCCTCTCTCGCCTCGCTCCCTCCATCTCCACTATGACGTGGCACTTATAAAAATTGGTTCTCATTCAAATTGATGACCTCACATGCCCTCCGAGCAATTACTCATCCCAATAACTCACTCTCCTTTTTTTCTGTTCCTTCACCATTCCCCTCTACTACATTTCCATAATAAAAACTACATTTTTGATTTTTGATCTCTGCCAAGAACATCCATTCAAATTTTTTGCCCTCTTGCTTCTCTTGTTTTTGTCAGGAAACGTCTCTAGAAAGCAAACAGAGGAGGAAGCGATGAGGGATGGGGGTACCGGACTGTTACAGGGAGGCGTTGAGGGGGGATGCACGTTGGCATTCGTTTCATTCGTCCCTCCCGTTCACACTGTCCCCCTCTCTGGTTCCCATTCGCTTTTTTGTCGTTTTTCTTCATATTCAAAATTTTTGTATATTGTCTTTCCCTTTCTACTCTCATACCTTCTTCTCTTTCAAAAATGACGTAGGGTGTTCGTTGTTAGTTTGATGGTAGGAAATTGATTTTCTAAGTTTTATCCCCCAATAAACTTTTTGCTCTGATCAAGACAGTCAACAATAAGGCTCTAGATTTTCGGTTAAAGCACACCTTCGATTGGTAGGATTTAGCGGACTGGCGGCCCTATAAGCTTCTACCGGGCTGAGTTTCTTTCCGGAAGAACGGAGAGTTTGATCCAAGGCAACCGATTTCGTGCCGGGGCTGATTCTAATACAATTGGCTCCGGAAAATTTCGGATTTCGAACCATCAGCTGGGAAGACTGGCAAGTCTAAAACTCATGTTGATCTCACATTTCTAGGCATTTATAGAATTTTTTGGAAAATTTAGGATTCTGCAGCAGAATGCTAGATCCCTCTCCCCTTGGCATTTTATTTTCACTTTTGGCCCCGAAAACAAAATCTTCTGCCTATTTTGGATTGTTGTTGACCATGACCATCACCCTGTTCATATTTGGCCCAGAATTTAAATAACAAAGTAGGCAATAGATATATTACTTCAATAAGTGATTACCGATAAAGCTAGACAAGGGGAGATAAAGTGCCGGAAATAAGTCTAAAATATGAAAATTGTCTAGAAAAAGAGACAGGAAATGAAAGAACACGCATAGACCGGTGATCAGTTGAACAAGCAGAATTTACGAACTCCGCTCAGCAAGATATCTAGCTCAAAAGTCTCTTTTTAGATTATAAGACATGCTTCGGCTGTTACGAGTTTAAAATTCTTGAATTTCTCTGAAATTTCTTTTATGTTAGCTGTGGAAGAGAAAATCTGGTGGTCGCGGCCGAGCTACCGTAGTCAGCAAACACCTATTTAGTTTCCCACTTTTTTCGCTTGGTTTGCTTCTGTTTCCCGGTGAATTTTTCAGATTTGAAAACAGTTTTTTCTCTAATCTGTTTGGAGGTTTTTCAACACAAAAAATGTCAAACTTTGAAAAACTTCGCCAACAAGCTCAAACTTCGCCAACAAGCTCTTCTTTTCCACAACTTTACTTTTATACACGCATGATACCGTATTTCCTCTAATTGACCCCCACTCAAACTGTCAACTTTGAACTCAATTATTGGCTTGGTGCTAAATTTCACTTCGAGATTCTCTCGCCGTGCCATAGTGTAGGAATTTGTCTTTCAATGAAAATGTTCTTGAAACTTCAATTCCCTATTCTGATCTATCATTTCGGACAGTTCTTCACTTTCTCTCTCCTTCCATTTTTAACTTTGGAGGTCTGTCTGATGATAAGTATCTCTCATCATTTTTCAGTTATCTTTTTCTTCTTTATATCACTTTTTTCTTCTTCTTCTTCTTCTTGAAAAACCCCCAAGACGACTTCTTGCGTTCGGTCATTCTTTATGCGCTCTAAATAATGAGATGGTTAGTTATGCGTGTGCACTCTGGAGCCTTTAGCTTCGTTCTCCCGATTAGTGTTAGCTCGTATTTTTCACATTTTCCCTCTCTCTCTCTCTCTCTCTCTCTCTCTCTCTCTCTCTCACTCTCTCTCTCTCTCTCTCTCTCTCTCTCTCTCTCTCTCTCTCTCTCTCTCGGATTCCATCAAATCACCCCTACCTCTCTCCTGTTCCGATACCATTGTCTTCAATAGAAAGAAGAAGAAGGAGAAGAAGCAAACAGACGAAAAATGAGGAAAAAGTAGAAGAAGGGCAAGAAGAAGAACACAAGCACACACAGACAGAACAAAAAAACACACACCACTTCTATCTCTCCTCACTCTCCCCCATTTCTCTCTTCTCTGTATTCCTCGACAGTGACCTCTCCTCCCATGCATTTCTTGCTCTTTCTAACTGATAATCCTGATTACAGAAAACATGGAAGCCGTGGTTTGTCGTAGCCTTATGGAGAAAGTAGCTGAGCAGGAGAGCTGGGATGACGAGCCAATGGATGATCTTCAGGACGACTATGAGGATCCGTTCGATGAGAAGGTAGGATTTCGTCTTAAAATGTAACCAGATTTGTGTATTTCAGAAACTGGACCCAGATTTGAAAGAGTATGTCAAGAAGGAGAAAAGCATCGCGTTCGAGAGCTTCAAAACTGCGAAGGAGGGCGTCATTGCTTCGATGAACGAATTTGTGGAGCTGGTGGGTATTCGAAAATTTACGTTCATTTTGAAACAAGGAAAAATTTTCAGCTCTTCCACCACAACAATACCACGTACAACTTCGAAAAGCTGAGCGACACTTATGAGGACTTGTTGAAGCAATCGAGATACGTCAGTATGAAGTCCGCCGTCGATAAGATCAAGGTAGAGAAACGCCTGACTTGCTCATACTATCCAGCTCATATGATCATACTTTTTTCAGAAGCTCAACGTGAGCCTCATGATGCTCGACAATGCCATCAAGAGATCGATGCACGAGTTCAAAGAGCTTCTCGCCAATAGAGCGATCGAGGAGGATAGGGACAGAGATAGCGATGAGGAGAAGGAGGAGGAAGAGGAGGACGAGGAGGAAGAGGAGGACGAGGATGCTGAGGAGGATGGAGGAACTGTCGAGAATTCGGAATAGCCATTTTGTACTTAAAGGGGGTCTCCACCAAAAATTTTTTTTGCATTATAATGTTTGAAAAGTTGTCTGTTTCCCAATATTATAGCGAAAAAATTCGAAAAAAACCGAATTCCCTGAAAAAGGCCGGTTGAAGGGAAACATTTTCAAAAAAAGTGAGAAAATGGACGAGGATTTGAATTCCCGCGCAGTGAGAAACCTAGGCCACGGCGCCTGACAGCCGTTTGTTCGAGTGGCCGACAGTGGTTTTTTACGTTTGTTACCTGCCGGACATGAAAACCGAAAAAAATCCGGAAAAATTTCCATGTAAGAAAGGATTTTTTTTTTGAATTTTTTCGCAATAATATCAGGAAAATACACATTTTTTGAAACATTTTAATGCAATAAAAATTTTTGGTAAGAGTCCCTTTTACGACTAACACGGGAAGCCTCCCAAGTGTTACGCGGGGATTCAGATAAAACCTATGCTAAATAGTAGTACACCGGCTATCTCGAACAACCACAAAATTATAGCGGCCCATATGAAGGTATGTTCAGATGGCGAGCCATTTTATGATTTTTTGCGAGTTTGGAGTCGTAACCTTTCGAGAGACCATAACCTTGTGAATTTTTGTGGTCCAAACTTTTTTTTATTCAAAAGGCGATAAACAGACAAGTATTAATGTTAACTGCACCCATGCTTCATCTTCAAAAGTGAAACAAGGAAAATGGAAAGTATCCAAATTTCGAGTACCAACGAATTCAAAAAGTGCCAATTTTTGAAAAAAAAGTACTCGGGGGATCATGTCTATCAGATTTCTCAGGGCAAGTAAGGGAAATATCCGTGTTCTAATATGGGTCTATCCTTTGAGATACGAGACTCATTTCAATTTTTTACCAAAAATATTCAAAATTCATGTATACATGAAATTTTTCGAAAAAAATTTTTTTTCAAAAATTAGAAGAAGGAAATGAAAGTGAAAAAAGACAACAAAATACAATTTAGAATCCCATAAGGAAAACATTCCAAGACTAAAAAATTTTTCAAAAAATTTCATGTATCACTTTTGAAGATGAAGCATGGGTGCAGTTAACATTTATACTTGTCTGTTTATCGCCTTTTGAATAAAAAAAGTTTGGACCTCTACCACAAAAATTCACAAGGTTATGGACTCTCGAAAGGTACCGACTCCAAACTCGCGAAAAATCATAAAACGGCTCGCCATCTTAACATACCTTCATATGGACCGCTATAATTTTGTGTTTGTTCTAGATAGTGTACTACTATTTAGCATAGGTTTCATCTGAATCCCGGCGTAACACTTGGTTTGTCTGTTCTTTCGGTGCAATCTCACTTCGCCCCCATTCGTGTTTCTCCCCGCTGACCACCGGTCTAGCATTGAATTGCCTCTCTTTCTTATAAGCCTGTGTGTTTTAAAAGTGATCCGGAAATCGGAATTGAATGTGAATCCTTTTCTTTTTGTCGTGATAATTCGTAATCTTTTGTAATAAATATTAATAAGGCGTTTTCATTCTTTATTTGTGAGTTGAAAAATTTTCAGAAAAATCGATACCGTAATTTCTCTAACAAAAGCCCACCCCTGACCGCTTTTTGATACCTTTCACAGAAATCCAGATAATTGAGCTCAAAATTGACGGTTCGAATGCGCTTCTGTTAGAGAAAATACGGTATTCAATTTTCAAGCAAGAAAGTTTGTCACGGTTTTTGAGCGAGAGTATGCATTTTGACGTGACGGTGTACGGTGATCGGTGTTTACACAACCCGTGGCTGTCCTGACGGCTTCATATGACATCACCAACGCTACCGTAGCTCATCTGGTTACAACTTTAAAAGGGTTGGAGCTTTCAAATTTGGCAGGGATTTTTGAAACTGAATCCGAATTTCAAAGTTTCCAAAAGACCAGTTTAGGACTGAAATTCTGAAAATATTTTTTTTTTGTAATAATTTTTCCGAAAAAAAAATTCGGAATTTTTCGTAAGAGATTGTCGGATTAGGGTATGTCAAAGGTGCACAAATAAATCTTCCTGTCAATTTTCCCATATTTTTGATGTTGGGAAAATGGAATTTCTACTTCAACTTTTGAATTTAAAAACATTTCTAAAATCTCGGAATTCTGAAAATTTCAAAATCATAATATTCTGAAATTTTTGACATTCCGATATTTTCGAGAAGCCATTCCGAACATCCACAAATGTGGTTTTCTTGCTTATCAAGCCCCTTGGGAAGTTGAGCACCGCTCCCTTTGGCATCATTTTAGCAGCAATTTTCTAGCGGCTTTCACAGTAGTCATGCAATTCTCACGGTTTTTTAAACCTAGTTATTTCTTGAGTTTTTTTTGGAAACCATCTGAAAGTTTCTAGAAGAATCTACCTCTGTCGACTTTTCTCTACTTTTCTTTTTTTTTCTTCTTTGCCGAAGTTCCACAGTAACCCTCGAGTTCAATTCAATATTAACCCTTGAGTCCGATTGTACAGTACCCCATGTCCTGCTGTAATCATGTACAGCATGAGTCATATACTGCTTCCATTCCTTGTCCTTGCATGTCCTACAGTAAACTGTGACCCCAAGTGTTATTCTCATTATGACGTTTGTTTTGACGAGCCAGAACGTTTTTTTTTCTATGATTCATATTTTTTCCAGTATGCATGGTAATTTTTTTCTTTCCCTCCTCTCTCCTCTCCCCATTTTTTGCCCTTGTTTCTGAACACACACACAATAAAGACCCCTCCTTTTCAAACCTAGTTATTTCCTGAGTTTTTTTTTGGAAACCATCTGAAAGTTTCTAGAAGAATCTACCTCTGTCGACTTTTCTCTACTTTTCTTTTTTTTTCTTCTTTGCCGAAGTTCCACAGCAACCCTCGAATTCAATTCAATATTAACCCTCGAGTCCGATTGTACAGTACCCCATGTCCTGCTGTAATCATGTACAGCATGAGTCATATACTGCTTCCATTCCTTGTCCTTGCATGTCCTACAGTAAACTGTGACCCCAAGTGTTATTCTCATTATGACGTCTGTTTTGACGACCCAGAACGTTTTTTTTTCTTTGATTCATATTTTTTCCAGTATGCATGGTAATTTTTTTCTTTCCCTCCTCTCTCCTCTCCCCATTTTTTGTCCTTGCTTCTGAACACACGCACAATAAAGACCCCTCCGTTCGTTTTTCTTCTTTCTTTTCTTTTTCTTTTCTTCTTTTTTTGCACTTTTTCTTTTTTACCTCGTGGCTCTCTTTTGGAGGAAGATACTAGGATGAGAATTTTGGAGAGAGAGAGAGAGAGAAACAAAGAAGTAAGATCGGTGGCTTCATGAGAATATGACCATAAAAGCGAATATAGGTTATTTGGAAAACTTTGATTTCCAAAAAAAGTATTTCTTACCTATTTCCCTATTTCAGTTACTTATTTCAACGGAATCAAAAACTCGTTCCCATTCCGAAAATAATAAAAAATCGATAAATTTTTTAAGAAAATGTCCCACGAACCATCCATCCGCAACTTTGTCGCCCGCGAGCTGGAGCTGTCCAAGCTGATTTGTCAGCAGAAGAAAAGACAGATGACCTACGTCTACTACTCCATCAGGCTCAAGGTTAGTTTGGCTACAGTAATCTATAACTGCATAAAGAAACGTTTTCAGGCCAGAGAGATTTTCGCTCGCGATGTTGTCGAGAAGATGGACGAGGAGTTCCACCAGCACAACACCATGTTCGAGTTGACTGTGGCTGAGGAGGATGACCTGGTCGAGTACAAGGTAATATTGAGATTTTTGGCTATTTATCAGGAATGTTCGGAAGGGAATTTAGGATTTCGAAATTCCGGAATTTCGAAATTTTGGAAATTGGAATATTCCAAAGGTTTGAAAACCCAAATATTCCTGAAAAACAAAAATATTGAAAATCGAAAAATTCCCAAAAATTTGAAATTCCGAAATTTTTAAATTTAAAATTTTAAAGTTTCAAAAAGCAAGATTTCCAAAATTCCGGAATTTTCTAAAAATCAAAATTTTCTGAATATTCCGAAATCTAAAAAATCGGAACAATCCAAAAACTGTAATTTTGAAAATTGAAACATTCTGAAAACTCTGAAGTAATAAAATTTTGAAAACCTGAATATTCCGAAATTTCGCAAATCGAGATTTTTCGAAATTCAAAATTTTCGAAACTCGGTTTTTTCGACAGGCTGAACAATACGAAAAAATGTTGTTCTGAACGTCTCTGCTATTTTTGTCGGGCTGAAAATGGCATATACCGTATTTCCTCTAATAGAAGCCCACTCTAATTGAAGCCCACTTCTAAAAGAAGCCCACCCTGGCTGTGTATATATTTTTCTTCTTGGTTATTGCAAAAATGTTATTTTTTTGTTGATTTTCTGGTAGTTTCCGTTCATTTTTGTCGTTTTAGAATATTCCTGCTTTGCTCAAAATCGACAAATCTCTAGTGGGGGCAGCAAATATGGTATCTTAGGTTTTTAAATATTTTTTCCAAAATTTTTGGTTTTTTACCTAACATATTTGAAATGACTGATAACACATGTTTCTGGCATATCCAAACTCATTTTTCGGAAGCAATTATTTATTTTCAGCGCTTGACGGTTTGTATGACGCTCTTCACCGACTACATGATAATATTGGCGTTTATAATACATGTCGACGCTTTCTTTACAACTTTTCTTGGCCTCTAGAAAATCAAAGATTTTTGATTTTTATTTTTGATTCATCCATATTTCTTCGAGAGAGAGAGAGAGAGAGAGAGAGAGAGAGAGAGAGAGAGAGGGACAGAGAAAGAGAGAGAGAGGGACAGAGAAAGAGAGAAAGGGCCAAGAACAGTTATGATAATTATGCATTCTCTGCATCGGCTTGTTGATCGAAGTAATCGAGAAGGTTGTATTCGAAAGTGCGGAAGTTTGAGATGATCTCGAGTGTGTCGTCGAGATAGCGGAGGTATCTCTGAAAATTTTGAAGTACTTTGAGGATTTAAAGAGCAGGTGAGCAGCCTAGCAGCTTAGCAGACTAAGAAACAAAGGGCCTAGCAGCCTAACAGCGTTGCATCCTGAAAATTGAAATATTCCGAAATTTCCGTAATTCGGAAATTTTAAGAATCTAGATACTCCGAAGTTCTGAAATTCCGAAATTCTAAAAATCGGAATTTTCCCGGATTCTGAAATACTAATAATCCGAAAATTGGAGTATTCTGAAAAATTCAGAATTCCGAAACTCCTAATAAAACATTTTGAATATCGGAGTCAGAGATGAGCGGAATTCCTTATTCCTTGCTCCTAAATTTTTATTTTTATTCCTTCTTCCTCCTTCCTTATTCCTGATTTTTTAAATCATTTTTCCGAAGAATTTGAACAATTTTTAGTTTGAAATTTTTTCAAATTTTAATATTATTTAAGCCTAAGATACTAGTTAAAATGTCGTTTGATTTCCTTTCTTTCTACATTCTCTTTCTAGATGTTTTTCAAAAAATAGTCGATAATATTTCGATTTTTTTCAAATTTTGTTCCTTATTCCTTATTCCGTCTTCCTTCTTCCGAATGTTTTTTTCGTTCCTTATTCCTTATTCCTTCTTCAGGATTTTTAAAATTTCAATTCCGCTCATCTCTGATCGGAGTATCCCAAATTTTTTGAAAAGCGGGATATTTCGAGGTTCTGAAATTCAAAAATTGTGAAAATCGGAATATTCCTAAATTTTCGAAATTCTAAAAGTCAACACATTCCGAATAATTCGAAAAATCCGAAATTACAAGCCTAGCTGTCATAACTAATAGTTGCTTTTACGTTTTTAGGGGTATATGAACCAGAATCCGTTTCATCTCTAAAAGTCATTCAACTAACCCGAAGTCTTCTCAACGAGTACGCGCGGATGTCCGTTGTCTGTCTGATACGACATATCCGTGTGGTCCGGATGCTGACTGACGCGGCAGCTTGATGAGCCAGAAAGAGAATTCCTCGTGGAAGAACATTTCTCTGAAAATTTGAAAGTTCGAATTCTTGACCATTTTTCAACTTACTCTGTACTCGAACAGTTGGAGGCGGCGAGTCGCGTGAGATGGAGCGAGAAGAAGACTAAGATAGTCCTCGGCATCCTAAAAAACCGTATTTTGGTTCAAAATTCAAATTGACATACAATGATGACTGTCATCAACTCATCTCTCTCGGATAGAACTGGACGAGATGCAACTGGAGCTTCAGCGTTCTGAGATTGAGCAGCAGCTCCGGTTGATTCGTTGTTGATTGCAGCCATTTCTCAGAAGAAGCTGAAATTATTTTTAGAGGTTCGGGGGACAAAGGAATACAAGAAAAGAGAAAAATAGAGAAGGGGAGATGTAATATAGCCTTTCTTGATAGCCACTTTTCGAGACAAGCGACTCTAGACAAGATATTCAAAATACTATGGGCATAAAAACGGAGGAAATGGCGTTTTTAGTGTGTTAGATTACTTGGGTAAAAGGCCTCGAGTTGATTACTTTTTTATAATATCGATATAAACTACTCTTTATTAAAGGTGGGGCACATGAAAAATAATGTTCCCGAAATTCCGTTTAAATATGCCCCCTCGCGGAGTTGAACTTGCGAGGGCGAGGAGTGAGGGTGCGGCGCCGCTACCGACTGAGCTACGCGGGCGAAAAGAGAGCGCGCCCCAGGTGGTAAACATAAATTTAGGGACTACCGCTGTACGCAGAGTGACATTAAACGTTGTACACCGTCACGGTAGTATGCATACCCTGTCTCCAAAAATCCTCCGAAAAACCTCCTGTCTCCCTCACCTTTAAAAAGACTAGTTAGTCAAGGGGGGAAATGACGAAGAATGGCAATATTTTCCTCAAATCTAACTAAAACCAGTGGGTGGAGTAGGATGGGTGGGATTCAATTTCTTTGGGATGGAAAATGTATTTCAATTGTGGTTTGGCAGAAATTTTATTGCAGGAGATTACAAGGGATTCAAGATTTTTTCCGGGTTTACGGTGGTTGAGGATTTTGTAAAATTCGGATCAGAGGCGGAAATATGAACGGATTTTTTCAGATGAAAAAAAAGTTTACGATTTTACAGGATACTAAATTACAGTAACAGTCATATAATATACAAATACATAATTTCCGTTGGTTTTTTTTATCATTTTCAGAAATGGAAGGTGTAAAACACACCTAATAATGAAAAAATTCGCATTCAAAGATTTTCTAAAAATTTCTAGCCTTTCAGATATTTGCAGATTTCTGGAAAACACCTCTTTTTGACCCGCTTCTTTGATGAAAATGTGAAAAATTGTGTCTTTCAAAAATCGGCAAATAGCAGAAAAACTATGAATTTCCCAAAAATTCTGTAGATGCCAACTTTTCAATCTAGGTCTGTTTGACACACTCCAAAAATTTCAAAGTTGTCGAAAACTTGACAACCGAGCTCTAGGCGTCTGAAAATGACAGAAATTAAACTGAAAATTTATTTTCGTAAATCTTAATGACCGGTACTGTAAAGATCTGGAAAAATTATAAAATATTTTATTTGAAGTCTACAAAAAACACTCAAATGTGTAGAAATTAAAAAAAGAGAACTCTTCGAAAAACCGTTCCTTTGAAATAAATGGCAAAAAAATCGATTCGAAATTTCGGGATAAAATACCAGCTTTTTTAAAAATAAACCTTCTACTCTGTAAAATTCAGATTGGTAGATACAGCGGTAGATAGAAAAAATGCCAAAAAGAAAGAACCAAGTTCACCTCTAACGGGAACAAGTTCTAGCGTGAATTTTGAAGGAACAATGGGAAAAAAGAGAGACAGTATGTCGGCAGGGTCTTTTATAGGATAGTAGTTTTTATTCGAACTTTTTTTCTGTTTGAAATAGTTTACTGCCCTGAGATAGTATCTTTCATTGACCCAATTTTTTTTACGAAGGTCAGTTTGACTTTAAATATGACAAAAAAGAGGAATGTTATCACTCGATTAGGCACTTCTATCTTCAATTTCCAATTCCTTGACATTCAAAAAAAAATGATTTTAAAGGAGGGCAGACAACAAAAATTTCGGGGAAAATTTCAGGGAATGTGTATTTTGCCGTCGCGGTGTTCGCACCTAAAGCACGCAATCCCACGCGCAAACATTTTTATTTTTTTATTTCCCGACTTTATTTTTTTCAATTTTTAACGACTTCAAACATTAAAAAAGCTCTTTTTTCTTATTTATTATAAAACCCATATAAAAGTGAATTTTTCATGTAAATTTAAAGTTCTATCGACCGATTATTTTGCCAGTCGCCGGTGTTTTTTATAGGCATGCGAAAAAAACTATTTTCTCTTCGATAACCGTTTCTTCACTGTTCCTATTTATCTCATTACTTCTCGTTATTACTCTAGGAATAAAAACTGTTTTATGACTAGGGTTTTCAGAGACGTCTCCATTTTTACTGCTTCCTTCACCTTCCGACGACCAGCCCTGCACGAGGATTGTTTTAATTATGTGGTTTTTTTTTTCAATTGTCTCTTTCTAAAAATTAATTGTAGTTTTTTTCATAATTTATTTGTTAACATAATAAAACGAGTTTCTTCATTTTCAACTGATTTTGGTACCTCGGAGCGAGGCCTCGGCGGCACGCTGGTAGCCCTTCAGAAATTCCGAGTTCAAAAAGTTCAATCCGAAGGAAACAAGAGAAGAAAAAAGTAAAAACACCAGCAGGGATTGAATCTCTGACCTCCTGATACTAGCCTGGAGCGTACCCACTATACTACGCGTGTAAGAGGCGACCATCGCGTTTTTCACATTATGAAGCGACGCCGCAGCAGCAAGCTAGTGAAGAAATTAGGGTGACAAAAAAGAGCATTTTTTCGTCCTTGAAGTGTTTTTTTCAGGTTTTTAAGTACATAGCTATATTTATACTTCAGAGTTATATCTTTTGAGTAAAAATGAAATTTTTGAAATTTTTGATGTCTACCCTCCTTTAAAAAAAACGAGAAAAAAATGAGAACAGGGAATGATCCTGTCTGGTAAAACACCTGTTTTTTAGGAGTTCCATTTTTTCATCTGTTCTAGAAGATTTCAGAAAGGTTCTAAAAATTCTGAAACTTCAATTATCAGTGCTCTTTTCAGTTACGCCTAACATAATTGAGAAATGCATTAGGCATATGGAAATGAGACACGGAGATAGCTCAAAAACAGAATCTTCCTGCCATAGCAACCAATGATATGTATTCTTCTTCGCAGAGAAAGTAAAAGTGAATTTTTTGGAAACAATTTTTACCAATTCGAATATAAAATTCTGAAAAACTAAGTAATATAGACAATTTCAGTATTAAATAGAGCACAAATTGAGATATTTTCAGAATATATGTGTTCATACCGTTGTCCGTGTAATGGAACCCAAAATTTGAAAAAAAAATAAATTTTCTGCTTCTCCTAATTTATAGGGTTTTGAAACTTTTTTGTTTTTGAAACCTTTTTTTCCCTGAAAAAAACTTTTTGACATTTTTAAGTGTCCAAGACACGTAACAGCCGCTGTAGTTGAATTTTTTGAATGTTCAGATTTGTTTGGGTATCTGTTCTATCCCTTTTGAGTCACGCTACAGGTAGGTCACAAATAAACTGGCAAAGGAGCGTGACTTCTACCGCAAAAATACATTGAAGTTCATCATTTTTGTAAGAAACGATCATTGACAATGTGTATATGCCAAAAAAGTTTACTTAAAACTGATTTGAACGTTCTAATATACTGCCAAATATGACTCAGCCTGTTAATATCCGAATCGCTTGAAAAAATTTCAAAATATTTTCCAATTTATGTACATTTTACAATTTACTACCGCTCTGAACATTTGTCTCTTTTTTTCCTTTTCCTTCATATTTTCTTCTCTGCGCCCTGGATTACATGAAGCAGTGTGACGCCTGCGCCTCCCAGAAAACACTCCGTGTTCTATTCGTGTATGCACGACTGAATATATTGCGGTGAGATGGCCGAGTGGTCTAAGGCGCTGGTTTTAGGCACCAGTCCCTCCGGGGGCGTGGGTTCGAACCCCACTCTCATCAACTCCTTTTTGCCTTTTTTTAATTTTTAGTCATACTGTAGATCCTGTAATATTAAGACATAATTATAATATAAGGATTTAATTGCCATTTTGACGAGTTCATAATTGTTCTTGGACAAAATATGAAGAAAAAACTGATGAAGTGATTTTGATTTTAAGCCGAATTTTTGGTCAGTTGATATGTTCAATTGAAATGGACATCTTCACAAGACAAGAGGATACTTGATGAAAACGTACAGGAGCTATTATTACAAACTTAAGATGTGCTTAAGTTTCTCCAAAATTAAAAAAAAACGCACCGAAAAAATTAGTTTCCCAATCTTTTAAAATCATTTTGATCTGTTTCTATTCAGTATAAAATCCCAACTCTTCAGTATAAAATCCCAAACATTCAGTATAAAATCCCAACAAGGAACAAAAATATGGGCTCTCAAATTGTTTTCAGTACTAAATTTTGATCAAAAACGTGCATTTTTCGAGCTTTAAAACTCTTTTGCCAGGATTTTTTTCAAGCGGGAAACTTTTTTTTTGATCATTTCTCTAACATCTGAAATATTTTTTGTACAATTTCAAAAAAAAATTTTTTTCGATTTTTTTTTTGAAAAAAAATCATCATGGGGTACCCCACACTTTAAAAGTGATTTTTTGAGAAATTTTTTTGAAAGTGCAAAAAAGTCTTTCAAACATTCAGAAGTGATAGAAACATCATTTTCACAGAATTTGGCAGCTTGATTTCGTCTGTGAGCCCTGATAATTCTCAAAATCTGATAATTGCAAGAAATTTGAAAAACTGTAACTTCTCAAATATTGCTCAAAATCGCACGGAATACACAGAAATATGTAAAGATCATTTGGGTGATAGATTTGGTGATGTTCCACTCAAAAAAAAGCAAGACGGAGCAATTCCGAGACTCGAAAGTTTTTCTTTTGGGCGATAAGACAAGTCGAAAAAAACAATATTTCAAAATTTCTTTAAAATTTCAAACACCTTCTTTTTCACTTTGAAAACGTCGGGAATTCATGAAATAAGTATAATATGTTATTCAGGGGACCAAAATGGATATCGAAAATTCGTCTCAAAAAAAAACAAAAAAAAGATTTACCACAGTGGGGTTCGAACCACCATAGTCACTCTTAATGAGTCTCCCTCTTACCGCAACACCACACAGCCGATATTTTCCTTTGGCGCGGAGAGGGGCGTAGTGGAGTGAGGGAGAGGGCGAAATCGACCAAAAATTTTCAGATGAAGATTTTCAGCTTGTTGATGATACTATGACCTAGATTTTTTTGTCATCGTTTTGCGGATATCTCAAACTATCAGTACTGAAACTTTCAGAAAATTCTCAACGCCCCTCTGAAAACACTTCCCTTGTAAGACCCAATATTCTTTTAATTAATTAGCACCCGGTTTTTCTTGAAAAAGTCAAAATACTTATACTCGCGAAATTCAATTCCATCGGATTATTTTTTCTAAACGAGTAAATTTTTGTTTGTTGGTGTGTGTGTGTGTTTGTGTTTCGAAACGAGGCGTTCGCGTGTCCCTCTCCCGCATTCCTCTTTGTTTGTGTGTCACAACTCATTTGCAGTTGTTTTTTTCTTGCCGCTCGCGTTTTCCCCTGTATGTGAACCGAGTCGACTGCTGCTGTTAAATGCGGTGAGATGGCCGAGTGGTCTAAGGCGCTGGTTTTAGGCACCAGTCCCTCCGGGGGCGTGGGTTCGAACCCCACTCTCATCAACTTCTTTTTGCGTTTTTAGTTGAATTATTAGATACAATAAAGCCTGTAAAAAGGCATATAATAGTTTTTTTTCGACTTTAATCGAATTTTAGGAATTTGAAAAGCTTACGGAAATAACTAAAAACTAAACAATCAGAATGAAAATTCTTCTTCTAGAAAATACTGAAAACTATTAGGTTGGCGGGAAAGTCTTTGTCACTTTTTCAATAGTTTATTTCTCAAAGAAAAAATAACCGATAATTAATTATATTGTCCATCATTATCAACAACATGTCTCCAACGTTCCCTCAATTTATGGATTCCATTGCGGTAGAATCCAGCCGGGCGTGAGGCAAAGTATTGTTTGAGTGCCGCTTCGACCGCTCCACGGGAATTGAAGCTTCTTCCTTCGAAGGCACGTGTCATATCGCCAAATAACCAATAGTCGGAAGGAGCAAGATCAGGAGAATACGGGGGGTGAGGGAGAACATTCCATCCATATCCCATCAGCTCCTGCTTCACTTGTTTCGAAACATGTGGGCGAGCGTTATCATGTTGATAGTACACTTTCTTGTCTTTCAGGGCCGAACGGTCGACTGCTTTCTTGAGGTTTCGTAGTTGAGTAGTGTAGAGGTCTCCAGTTATTGTTTTGCCCTCGGGCAGAAGTTCCCAGTAGATGGGGCCGTCCACTCCCCACCACACAGAGAGCATAACTTTTTTCGGATGAAGGTCGGGTTTTGGGACATCCTGTGGGCTCTCTCCTTCTCCAACCCACTGGGATTTCCTGTGGTGATTATCGTAGAAGACCCACTTCTCATCTCCGGTTATTAGCCGGTCCAGCCATCGATCGCCCGCGTGGAGAGTGAGAAGAGTAATCGAATCGTCGACTCGGCGGTCAAGGTTGGCTTGAGTCAGGTGATGAGGTATGAATCGACCAAAAAGTTTTCTCATTCCAAGAGACTTCAAACCTTCAAGGACTGTGCTATGGTGAACTCCGAATGTGACAGCTAGTTCACGGCTAGATTGAAATGGATCCGATTGCAATGCGTGCTTCAGCTTGTCCAAATCCAACTCACGGGGTCTCCCAGAGCGATCCTTTTCATCGAGCGAGAAGTCATCTTTTTCGAAACGATGGAACCAATTGCGAATAGTATTGTAGTGAGGGGCATGTGTGTTGTACACATTCTTCAAGAAAGTTTCCGAATCCTTCATCGTGGTGTGAGATAGGAAGAGGTAAATCAAAACATGTCTGATGTGAATAGCAGTGGGAACAAACATATCGTTTCAATTACAGATGAGGAGCAGGGAAGGAGATGGGGACTTGTTTATATGGAAGGTTCTTATCACCTTGTTATTCACTAGAGTCGATATCATACACAGCCTCCATATACGAGAACAGTGATTAAACAAACAGAGTGACAAAGACTTTCCCGCCAACCTAATAGAAAATGTTGAATTTCTGAAATTATTATTCCGTATTTTATTATTTTATTCAAAATTGTCAATACTGTAATTTAGATCTATTTTATTATTTTTTTTATTTTTTTGTTTTATTTTTATTTTATTTTTATTTTTTCAAGTCCCCACCCCTTGAAATTTTCAGTTTCCGCACGGGTAAGAACCACTTTCTTCATCACCTTCGAATCTAGACACTTATACCTTTTCATCAATTTGCCCCTAAAAATACTCAGCCTAAATCCCCCATGTGCAACTCATTCCATTCTTTTGGAACATTGACGTCAATCGCCAAAACTGGGCAAAAGAGCTGAAAAACAAGTTCCAAGCATTCTTCATTGCACTAAGAAGTAAGATTAGGAGGAGAGCGAGATTTTGTTTTTTAGGTAAAGAGATCAAAGATGAGATTTCGAAAAATTAGTAGGAAAAGAAAAAAAGATCATAGAAAATATCAAAAGCTGGAAATAGAGGTGGGTAGCTTGCAATTATTCAATCGGCAACATAGAATCCACGACGTTCGTGTTGTTCACGGACCAGTGGAGTGATGTAGGTGATTTTGTGAGTCAGATCGCGAGCGTGATCGAGATGGCTCTATAAAATATGGAAGTTTAAATTTCCAAATTACTTGGAATTTGAGACTACCGTATTGGCAATAATAGAACCCATCCAAACCGGATATTTGGAGCTCAATTATCTCGGTTCTGATGAGAGTTATCAGAAATATGTCAACTGTTAAAATATTGGCAATATTATGATAAATAATTTATCAGTTGACAAATTTTTGATTTTTTTTTTAATGAACCGAGGTAATTTAGCTCAAAGTGAACAATTTGGGTGAGCTCCTATTAGAAAAAATAGGTTGTATCTACTCTAAATTCTCACCAAGATGTCAATGACATATCCAGTGTTGCACTCCATTGTAATCACATTGGTGATATGAATGATATCCTCTCGGATGATCTCCACCATACTAGCGACAGAGATAGATGGTCGAGAAGTCTGGAATTAGTCAGATAATTAGGGAAATCTAATTTTTGGGTCTTACCGCGACACGAGAAAATCTAGCAAACGCATCATTGAGTGCGTCCAAAGTAGGGTTGACTTGTAGCAGGACGTGATGAAGAATGTTTCGGCGTTCCTCGTCGTCCATCTAGCCAAAATAAAATGCTGAAATGGAAGGGAAAACCCAAAAGAAATGAGTTCGACAGAAAACCTTCGAGTAAACACCAAGATTGAAGAAAATGAAAACAGACACGAAATAATTTAGAGATGAGATGTGAGAGCCAAAGAAGGAGCGAGAAAAGAAATTGCTTCAAGTTATACACAAGGGTTATACGAAAAACATAATGAGACGACGGGTCATGAGATGAAAAGGATGAGAATCTTAGAAAAAGGGGGCACCCCCCAACTAATGGGTTTTCTTTCCGCCCAATATTATTATTTGGTGGTTGCAGCACAACAGCGCCCTATTAAATCACGTTGTCATTGGTGACACCAAAAAGAGGAGTATAGGGAGAATAAAAATGGAATGAAGAGAGAAAGAAGAACGGAAGGGATGCTCTTGTGTATTGTTGAGTTGGCTCGAAAAGCCAGGGTAACTAGAAGAGGAAGAAGGAAGGGGCGGGAGTAAAAACAAGTAGACAGACATCACGAAAGCTACAATTTCTACCATATACCTTTAAGACGAGTCACAAGATCTGAATTTTTCAGAGTTTATCTGATTCTAGGAGTCTTAAAACTACATTTAGCTTTTTGCATACTATAAAGACGATGTGACCAAAAATTTTGTTAGGTGAAATGTGTTATTACATTTTTCGGGATAATTTTTTGACTTAACAATTTAAAGTCATTTTCAACACCTAAATCAGAATGAATATCTGAGCAAAAAAGCGTAATATCGGACTCTTCAAAGTAGGAAAAATCCTAAAAACCAATTGTACTGCATTTACTATGATAGAAGCTCAAACTACCAGTGAATTGAGCTCAATCGTTACTGTCTCAGTAGAATCCAAAATTTTAAGCCTTACAATTTTTGCTCAATTATCTCGATTCTTGTGAAAGATACAAAACATTTATCAACTGATAAAATATTTGTGATATTATGATAAATGTTTTATCAGTTGACAGATTTATGATATTTTTTCAAGGAACCGAGATAATTGAGCTCAAAGTGCACGTGAAAAATAGGCTACTAGAAGAGCGAATACGGTACACTTCCACAGGTTTATTAACTGGTTCTGAAGCAGTTTCGAGTTTCTAAAATTTTTTGCAACTCGAGGTTCGAGCTTCAAATACGAAGAAATCCCGGGATAGGGCGGCGCTTAAAACGGAAACTTTGCCTTCATTGGAATTTTCCAGAAAACTTTGCTTTCTTTCAAAGTTTATTGTTGGTTGTTAACATTAACATAAACCTCTTGTCGGGAAAGGTCCTCAAAAAAAAGTAGGTCAATTTTCTTAGTACCTATTAATTCAAAACTAAACCATGACTCAATTCCAAAAGCTTAGGACTACAAATATTACGAAATTATTGTGACCTGGTCTCATTCATCAAGAGCTGGCCCTTCCTAACCTCAAAAACTACAATTCAGTTCCCAGATCACAGCACACGAGCAAACTCTAGGAATGACTCCAGAAATCACCACTAACTTAGCATTCAATTCTCTAGAAAGCTTTTTGCCGTCGAGAAGTTTATTGGCGGCAATGAAACTCTAAGGAATGGCGCAAAAGTTAGTTAGGAGAGGGATTAGGGTAACTCCACTTAACCAAACTAGAAGATAATACCCAGAAATCTTTTTTCGATTGTTTAAAAAAATCCCAGAAATGAAAGAAAAAAGTAAAATAGTGAAAAAAGTGTGGTTGTAGGACCGAATGAAAAAAAAATGGCACGAACATCTTCATGTGCCTTTAAGATGAGGCTTAACGGGGGTTCGTGTAATTGGAACTGGGGAGAAAAATGGAAAACTGAATGTGTAGTCCTTTTTGTCGAATGAGTCCCCCCTAAGAGAGGGTAATGGATCAGGCCCAATGAAGCGAGTCGGGTAACTCCGCTTGCAGTGTTTTATGGAAGTGAGAGCAATAAAGCAAGGGCCAGGCACTACTTGCGTAATTGGAAGCACACGGAGTTTATTACTTCTCATATATAATATAAAGCAGGGTCATATTGGCGCCCTAAGTGGGAAGCATGATGGCGCGTTCTCAATGGTTCACGTGAATAATCTATGAAAGCAGAATAAAGCCTTGAAGATGAAGCCGAAGGCGTCGGCAGTAGACAAGAGTCAAAAACGTATGGGTGTGTATGTGTGACCAATTGGCCTCACTCAATTGGTAGACCACGAAAAAGTGTGAATACGCAGAGCTGATTAGCCAAATATACATTCTAAGAGAGAGTTTGAGTGGCGCGGAGGTCACAAAGAGAACCTAATAATACTACTATTGAAACAAGAAGCTGGAAATGAATTTTACCCTAAAAAGTTTGTGAACAGATTATGTATTAGAGCTATCCTAACATTAGAACTACACTATTTTCATGAAATCCTTACGTTTCTGATTCCCACGAGTAATGTATTCCACGTAGCTCCATGAGTCAATTTATGATCACAAAATATACATCGAGATCAAACGGCTAGGCCTAAATAAACTTGGGTTTTAGTCTTGCTGGGATTCAAAAATTACCGAAATAATACAGCCACAAACTTAAAGATACTGACTGTGAGCCTATAATAGGAGAACCCTTAACTGTTAGCTTCGAGTGACTTTATCTCGGTTTCTGTAAAAGATATCAAAAAATAGTCAACAAACAAAATATTGGTGATATTGTAATTCACATTTTGTCAATTGACTTCTTTATGATATTTCTCACAGAAATCGAGGTATTTGAACTCAACGCCTAACGTCTAACTTTACACTTTCGAGAAAGTCCCCTAACTTCAAATTTAAGCCTCTATATCTCAGCGCCTTTTAAAAATATCGAAATTTTGCCAACTTATAAATTATTCACCATAACATCACCAACATTTTGTCAGTCAACCACTTTGGTATCTTTCACAGGAAATGAGATATATGGGCTCAAAGTGAACGGCCTGAAAGGCCTCATACTGAAATATCGCATTTTCTCGTCACCCAGACACAAGTACTTTGAGCTCTTTTTAGCTCGATTTCTGTAAGAGATTTTAAAATTTTGAAAGGTACAAAAATTGTCATCAGATTTTGGCAAACATTTTATCAGTCTGCAGACTGTCCATATGTTTTATAGAGGTAGAGTTAATTGAACTCGAAAAACGGTGTTCTATGAAGTATCAGGCTACTCGTTACAAAATTTTTTTTTGACATTTTTTCTATTTTTCTTTATTTTTAAATGGATACTAGGTATTTTTTTATTTTCTTCGTAATTGCGCCGAAAATTCATACCCATCATTTTTTTTATTAAACAAAGTTCCAAATTTACGCACCGTGCCGAAAACAAATTTTTTCATTTTAATGCGTCTACCGTTTGGCCTTGGACCAAATTTTTAAACATCTCTCCCGATTATTCGAGAAATAGCCTTGTCCTTTTTTCGAGAAAAACAAAACCACCGGCGGAGGAATCTTCTCGAATGCGACCTTGTCACTTGCAGAGACCGGTAATGAAACGGTTAGGGGTAGTTAATCTTGATATGAATGAAGAATCGGCGAAATGAGAACAATGTCCCCCCGGATCATCCCCCCATCAGGCCACTTCAGGCCCCATCAGGCCCCATCAGGCCCCGATCCCCATATCAGGCCACTTTTTTCGGCAATACAATGCAACAAAAATCAACTAGTGAAATTTGAAAAAGAGTAAAAAAACAAAACACACAAGAATAAAGACTTGAAATGTCATCTGGGTGAAAAGAAGCATTTTATATGTATACGTCCTTACTAATTAGTTTGGGTGACAATGTTTTCATACAAACAAGAGGAAAGATGATTCTCTATGCAATTCGACCATAAAAAGTGTTGTGACGTAGTTTCCGGATTTTTCTTTTTTTCGGGATTGTTGGGAGTTTCCGGTATTCGGATTGTTCGGACCAAAACTCAAAGATCACTTTCAGTGATCCCGTATCACCTCCAATAAAGTACCGTATCACCTCCAATAAAGTTGATGTCGTTTTTCATGTTGTTATTTTGTTTCATGGCTTGAATGGTATTCATGGTCTGGAGATGGATATATATTTTTGACATTGGAAAATTGATAAAAAAGGTCAAGATCGGGTACTGAAAATGGGAAACTGAGTAGCCATGAAATGTACCGTAAAGCCTTAATTTTCAACTTCAAGCTTAATTCTCTCGATTCCTGTCAAAGATGTCAAAAATGTGTACACTGATAAATTGTTTATCAGAGTTTCAAAAATTTTTCGTCAGTTGACACATTTCCGATACCTTGCACGAGAAATGACAAAATTGAGCTCAAACTTTACAGAGTGTGGGTCCATCTATTACATGTTTTACGGTGTTTGAGCTCTAAAATTAAGCTTTACTTTGAGTTACTGTGAGAGCATTACTGTGAGAGCAAATGTATTGGGAACCCACAAATCTGGACAACTTTCAGAGTTCTGAAATTTTCGAAGTTTTCTGGATGTTTCGTTTTTCAAATTTTTTGACAGTTGCGAAACAGTGCATTTCATACAATTCTCCCTTGTCTCCTTAAATCTTCAAAGTACAAGTGTATTCAAGAAAAAGTTTATTCACGAAAGATTAAACTTTTCAATCCGGGGAAAAATTCAAAGATCATCAAAAATGGATCCGCTTCAAACAAAAAATTAAGAGATAAACAGAATTTAAGCCTCAGAATTTTGATTTTTACGACTCTTTCGAACAAATTGGGCCTGCCAATTCTTGTTTCTAATATTCTCCCGAAGCTCTTCGACAAACCAGCGGCACTCGTAGAATGCATTTATAGCTTCAGCGAGAGGCGCAATCGGCAGAGCTTCTTCTTCTGCTGATCTTACATACTTCGTATATTGATATCCTTCAATGGCTGCATCAATAATCGCGATGATATGATCTTCAGTTTCTTGGTTGCATTCCAGACCAGCGGTGAGCATCTGAAAGTTATATTTTAAAACATTTTTGTTGATAAAATTCGCTTACTTCACCATGAAAGCTAAAGTGTTCGTTAGTAAATATTTCATTCATCTTAGACCATTTCCAGACGAGCTGCAAAATAATATATACATATAGTTTTTACAGAATTCACAAACTGATTTGAAGCATAGCTCAGAAAACTGTTCCTCGTTTAGACCGGCAAGAAGATGTTGTGTGTCTGGAGTTGGGGAATCCGTTTCAGTTTGTTTCCTTTCTTCTTCTTCTTCTTCGGCCTCCCGCTGCAAACGCAACTCTTCTGCCAGAAGAATACCATACAAATGTCCAGTCATACGTGGTTGTTGTTTCTTGATACAGAACATTCCACGAAACAATTTCATGAGCTTTGGCATTGCAGTTTTGATTTACCTGAAAGTTTATTAATCGTAATAATGAATTATAAATTCAATTTGATTCAATTCAAACTTGATAATAATTTAATCTTCAATTGATGAATAGCAAAACCGAAAGAGAAAATGATATATTTCACGATAGATAACCGCATATTTATACCGAACTTTTTTCCTTAAAAGTGCAAGTAAGAGGAGGGGCGCCGCTCCGCCGATGGCATTGAGATTAGAGGAGAAAACCGATTTGTAGTTAGGATCAAATGAGAGATAGTAGGTAGAGAAGGATAGTGGCAGAGAAGGGTTAGAGATCAGTATATCTGTCTTTTGAACTTTTCAATCTAAGCTTTGGATATTAAGAATGTTTTGTGACTTACCGCGAACTCTCTCATAGAATGAAAACTCTAGCTTTGAGCCGATTTATCTATGTTCCTGTGAAAGATATCAAAAATTTGTCAACTGACAAAACATTGTTCATTCTATGATGAACGTTTTGTCTGTTTGCCGCATATTGGAATTTTTTTTGACGTTCGTATGGGGGTTCTTTAATGGGGTGATTACAGTAAGCTTCTTTGGAATAAACGTGAAACTTGTGAAAAATATGAAGACTGCGTATTCGACATTGTTTTGTATAAACGGTTGATTGGAACCATTTTTTTAACTCATTAGCTAGAACGATTGTTTTGGCTCTAATTCAACGCTATACGTTCAATTTGAGGTTGATTATCTACGCTTCTATGAAAAATATAACAAATTTGTCAACTGATAAAACATTGTTGATATTATGATGAATAATTTAGTAGTTGAGGAACAGAGATAATTGACAGCTGGCTAGCCAGAGCAAATACGGTAGTTTACGAAAAACGCAAAAACTCGAAAACTCTTGATTGGATTTATACCTACCGACTTTTGCTAAACACCCCTTTCCCAATTTTTTGTTTTCATGATTTTTCAAAAAAAAAAATTCAAAAGCTACTAATTTATTAGGAATAAGAAGAACGAAAATAAGATTACAACACAAAAAATCATCATTTCAAATAGTTTCCGCTTCAAACAAACGCTTCTAATATGAACAGAATCTGACACATAGAGCATGTAATGGTTAATAACAAATTATATGTTCAGTATTGGTTGCCACAAAATAGCTGCCCCATCGATTGGCTTTCATGTTGGCACGAAGTTGGTCAATGAACCAGTGACATTCGTAGAGGGCATTGAGTTCTTCAATGATAGGTGCCAGTTGCCGAGGATGTATATAAATTTCAGCGGATTTCACACCTTCCATATATTCAAATCCTTCCTCATATGCACCAAGGATTGAGTTGATATATTTTCCAGTTCTCTTATTGTATTTCAGACCGGCAGCCTGCATCTGGAATATGATGATGCTTCGGTATATGACCACTGCAATAGTACTTCTACCTCAATTAAGAAATTTAAGTTCTGCTCTTCAAACAGCTCTTTTTGTTTGGCCCATGTCCAAGAAAGCTGAAAAAAACATTGCTGTACGTTTTTTAAACCATCTATGAACCGTTTCAAAATCATATTTTTCGTGTAAGCTCGAGAGAAGATGTTCATGATCTGGTTTTAGAAGATCGGGACCCTGTTCGCATTCAAGATCTTGTTGGTACACGTTATTATTATTTTCTTCTTCTTGTTTTTCGTCTTCTTCTTTCTCCGTCTTCTGCTTCAACTCTTCCAGCACTACCAACGTATATAAATTCCATGAGCATAGTTTGGACCATTTTGAGATGGGCTGAATGATAATTTAGGTACACTTACAGCATTTTTGATCATTGGCATACAAACCAATTCAAGGCACTGATCAGAACCTTCGTTTTCATTGGAAACAAGAACTCCACTATCTGGCTCTGGAGGATCCGGGCCTCTTCTATTTTCTCGCTCTTGATCATGATCTTGTTGGAACATCTGATTATTGTTTTCTTCTTGTTGTTCAGCTTGCCTTGCCGGAATTCCATACAGCTCTTGATGCTCTTCCAATGCGCACATCTCTTCAAAATAATCTTCATCTATACCTAACATATCTAGATAGCGTTGCAGGCGCGATCGTCTTTTTCTAATACACAAAATATACTGAAAAAACGCCCAAAGTTTCATTATGCAGACTCGGTTTACCTGAAAATTAGATAATTTGAGAATATAACAGAGCATAAAATAAAGAGAAAACGATAAATTTCAAGATATCCACTCGCTTATTTATACCAAACATTTTCCATAAAAGTGCAAGTAAGGGGTGGAGCGCCGCTCCTTCGATGGCATTGACATTGGAGAGATACGATTTGTAGTATTTTTTGGAAAACATGAGAGATACTAGACGAGGATAGTGGCAGAGAAAGATCAAAAATTAGAAATTCGATATGATATGGGTTTGAATTGTTGATGATATTTGAAAAACCGGCTCCAGGATATTGGCTCCGGCTCCAGGCTCCCATTGGCTCTATTGGCTCCGGCTCCAGGCTCCCATTGGCTCTATTGGCTCCGGCTCCAGGCTCCCATTGGCTCTATTGGCTCCGGCTCCAGGATAGGCCAGACATTTGCCAACCGTAGAACACAAAATAAATTTCAGACTACAAAATAATTATCAAAAAATGTTTTTTTTCGGGTAGAACTCATTCTGAAGTTCAAAACGTTTTAACCATCAGTGTTTTCAAATTCGAAAAATGTTTTTTTTATCAATTTTTGATGTTCAATCTGTCCTATTGGAAAACAACTAATTTGAAAACACTAACTACAGTTTTGTAATATTAAATCTATCCATTCGGCTGTATGTAACGCCGAAAAAATTTCAAGATGGAAAAACAGCATGTTTATCTTTAGAATAATCCGTTTATTCAGGTAAAACTTCACAATTTGAATCCATATTTATTGAAAAGTTGGAGCCAAATCACCAAAGCTATCCGCTTCAAAAAAAAAGAGAAAGAGATAAAAAAGGTCATTTGTACTAGAAACATTTCTTTACTCCTATCATCAACAGTTGCGATGACGTTTTCACTGATTGTGTCTGATTTTCATCCGAATGTTTGCCAGAGATTCGTGATACGCATTGGTGGCATCCAGACAATCCACCAGGCGATGAAGGGACTCGATATCGTTTTGAATGAAAATGTGGCCAGAATTTTTTTCGCCGCACACTTCAGTAAGAGTGAACAGTTGGTTGATCACCTCTTCAGTGAAACCGAGTGGTGCTTCTTTCATCTGATTCATCTGAAAATGTATTATTCCGAATAATGATTTTCCGCTGAATCTGTGAAATTCAACAACCAGGCATTCATTTTCAAATATATTATATTCTAACTGTGTATATTCCGGGTAACTAACAGGTATAATTAATATTAACTTTGAAATTTGAAATTACTCACATTAATTTTTATTCCGTTCATCAGTCCTTGGTTGTTCTTTGGTGCTAGAGAACTCATCTGTAAATCAGTTATATAACATTTTTATTTGAAAAATTAATCAAACCTCATTGCCGTTGACTTCTGGTGCATCTTCATTAGTCTCCTCGACCTCCTTCTCTGATTCTTCCATTTCCAACCGCTCACCCTTGATACAAAAAATACCAAGCACAAAATTTACGAGTTTGGACATTTTTATCCTGGATACCCTGGAAACTATTATGTTAAATTTTAATTTATTAAAAAAACAACGAAGAACGACTATCGCTACTATTGGCAGTTCTGAAACCTCACATCTTCAATCATCTTGGTTGACAAATGAGATATGAAAAACGATCAACTAACAAACTGTTTACTATTTCATAACAAATGTTGCCTGATATCGTCATTAAAAGAAAAAAATCTGGGTCGAAGGTTTGATAAAAGATAATCGGCAGTTAGAAAAGGCAATAAGAAAAGAACTTCATGGTGGCATCAAAATATCTTCTATTTCTCAAATGAATGAAAATCATATACTTGCACTTTTAACTTAATTATCTTGATTTCTTTCCTAGATATCGGAATTTTTCAAACTGATGAAATGTTGGTTGTAGTATGAGAAACATTAAAAATTTTCGATTTTACTGAAAAATTTAAAGTATACAGTACTTGTCAATAAGATATACAAAAATACATTTTTCCGTTGATTTTCGTATTGTAAATTGGGGATCATGAAAAATAGACAGCAAAAAGAATTAAAACTACTCGAAGCTTGGAAATTCTATGAAAACAATTGTTGTCACCTCGAAATGTGTAAATCAGGAGGTAGTACCTGGCACCGTCACCATTGCCATTTTGGGATTTAAAAACTAGGAAATAAAATTTTGAAAGGGAGTAATAATTAGTAATAAACAGTCATACTTTTTTGTTTTCCACTAGAATATCCCGGTCTCTAGTGGGGATGACGACAGGAAAAGACTTCAAGAACCCTGCGATACACTTTGTGGGTAGCGATTTTTCCTTGAGAGGAGAATTTTCAGATAGTTTAGATCAGATTTCAGATCAGCATGAGATGAAATTCTCTAACATTTATCAAAATCGTATAGACGTTTGCACTTTTAAAATATCCAAAGCATCAAAAAGACATAAATCAGAAAAATACAAAATGAAGAGATTTCCGGAGAATCAAATAAAAGCTACTTTAGAAACTCTCGAAAATACTGCAACTAAAGTTGGCCATTTGAAGTTTGAGGGCTCTAGATTTGTAAAAATGACTCTTCAATTTTTAGTCATACGAATGCAACGTCAGTTTTTTTCGACGGCTCCATAAATTTCGGATTTACGAGCGTCTGTCAATCAAAAGAGAAAATGAATACTATGTTGGCTTTTTTAGCATCTCTCATTAGTTTTTCCCCATTTATGACATAATTCAAGTACTCTAAAATTAATTTCAGAGCAACGATTTCTTTTGAGAAGAAAAAGCTGTTTATGAACATTCGAAAAAAAGCGTTATTACATTTACAAGTAAACTATATAAAGATGCATTAAATGCTAAGAGAAACGGCCCCGTTGCCTGATAACCCATAATCATCAGAAATAAAAAATGCGTTAAAAAAATACATGAACGAAAGTTATGATTAATCTTGCGGAAATCAGCAATTCAATCAGCTCCGTCGTTTCCCGTGGAGCAGAGAAGACTGTCGATTTCATGAGAAACTTGATTGAGAGCGGAGGCGTATTTCTGAAGAATGAAAACATAGAACATTGAAACAATTTTTACAATTCCGAGTCTACCCACCTCCGCGTTGCTGTTCTGCGGCAGATGAACGCACATTTTCATGATGTTGCGACCTTTGTAAGCCAACGAGAGTACTTTGCGGATCAGCAATCCATCAGTTTTCGAGTCAGAGGTCGAAATCTGGAAATTTTGAATTTTCCATAGTCTGAAGAAATTCAAGGAAGCTTTCTTATTTTTATGAACGAAACACAATATTAGAAAAAAATTGATTTTGAAGGATTTTAATATTTGGTTGAAAATATTAAAATTTCGAGTTTTCGTAGTTTTTCATTGTTATCTGAAATTTGAAAAAAAAAACTTCTCATACCTCCAGAGAAGCGAAATGAACAGAATCCATAAAAATTGCCTCAGCCACTTTCATTTCTCCGAGACCGGTCTGAAAAGAAAAAGTTGACGTTTTTAGTTTTTTTTAGTTGTTTTTTTTCAGAAAAATGAGCTGCTTCTAATTCTTTTAATAAACATTTACCATAAGTTGTTGAAAAATAATCATTTCAATTTTTTAAAGCAGAATTGTAAATTGGTTATAATATAGTTGATACAAAATTACACAAACTTTGCAGATCAGCGAACACTGCTATGAGATTGATTTTTTTTAAAATTTGGAATATCATCGTCACCAGTGTGTCTTTTCGAAAAACATTTCCCGAGAAATGCCTTTTTCGAGAAATTTTCAAGGAAATTTCTGCAAAAATTTCTCGAAAAAATGATTCGAAAAAAAATTTCGAAAAAAATTCCGGGAGAAAAATTTTTTGAGGGATGTGCTAAACAATGCGCGGAATAGGAATTTTGGAGTGTCGTAAGCGACTTTTTTCAGTTTTTTTTGCCGTTGCTGACATTGTTTTCTCGTTTATTTTGTCATTTTAAAGTGGTGNCCTAACTTTTGCAAATTTGGTTTTCTAGGCCACCACTTCAAAATGGCCTAGAAAACATACCAGGGCCATGTTAGGGCATTTTTAGGCCATTTTGAGGTGGTGTTCTAGAAATCCAAATTTGAAAAAGTTAGGCCACCACTTCAAAATGGCCTAGAAACCACCAGGGTCATGTTAGGGCACTTTTAGGCCATTTTCACGTAATGGCCTAGAAAACCAAAATTTCAACAGTTAGACCACCACTGCAAAATGAATTCGCGTAGAAAATTTTTTCGAAAAATTTCTCGAAAAATTTCTCGAAGTCGTGTCGACAGAACACACTGATCGTCACGATGACAGAGCGTTTCTTGAAACATTTCAAAAAACAAATATTTTTGAATTTTGAATCTTTAAAGGTGGGGGGACATGAAAAAAATAATGTTCTCGAAATTCCGTTCAAAGATGCCCCTCGAGGAGTTGAACTTGTGTGGGCGATGATTGAGTGTGCGGCGCCGCTACCGACTGAGCCACGCGGGCAAAGAGAAAGCGCACGCCCGATTGTATACATAAAGGCGAGGACGACAGCTTACGCAGAGTGACATTAAGCGTTGTACACCGTGACGGTAGAATGCATACTCTAGCTACAAAAAAACTACGAAAAATCTCCTGTCCCCCCACCTGTAAACACTTCGAGTTCATATACCGTATTTCTGCCAATAGAAGCGTACTCAAACCGTCAACTTCCAGCTCATTTATCTCAATCAATATGAAGGATATCACAAGGTTCTTTAACTAAAAAAATATTGGCTATATTTTAATTAATAATTCATCAGTTGACCACTTTCTGATATCTCTCACAGAAACCAAGATAATCTAGATCAAGGTTTACCGCTCGAATGGGCTTCTACTAAATTTTCAAAAACTGGAACTTTCGGAAATTAGGAGAACTCTGAGTGTTCGAAATTAGCATTCATCCGTACGATACTCACTTCTTTCGTGATTCCTTTCACGACAAAATCATAACAAAATAAATTTTCTAAAGTTCCGGAAATTAGAAAAATGAAAGTTTTTTTCGGAAGCTCCTCTCATGTCTCACTTGCGTCAGAAAAGTGCAAGACTAGATAATAAAGTTCGTGTCACTCACCATCATGTCAAAAGTTTCGTCGATAAACTTTTGGAGAACGTTCATTGTGCGGCTGAAAATGAAATTTCGTAAAAAAAATCTCGACAAAAATAAAACTGAACAGGAAAAAAGAGATATGGGGCTGAAAGAAAACTGAGATGCCCCATCTAACAAATATCAAGAGACGGACAATGAAATTCCGGAAACATTCTGTCTCCAAAAAAATTCAGAAAACTGTCGCTCTCCAATAATTGACAAAGATCAGAAAGAAGAAAAACGGGAAACTAGAGAATGAGATGAATAGAGAGACAGTGAAAAAAGTGTGTGCATTCAATTAAAAACTGAGAGGAGCACCTCTCTTTTCGGTTCGGTTTTCGCCGCGTGTCTATGAATCTTTTGAAAAGAAATAAAATTTCAAGGAAAAGCAGAAAAGTGTCTCAGAACCGGCTGTGAATTTAATTGTTGTTGATGTTGTTGATTTTTTTCAACCCGAGATTCAGAAATTTTGGAATAGAGATATGTAAACAACATTCTTTATCGATCCCAAAAAGTGGGTCTAGAAACTGCCACGTCACCAAAAAAAGGCCCTCATAAAATAAAATTCGACAAAGCAAAAAGAAGAAAAAGTGAAAATGGCTTTGTTGCCCATTAATCGTGATGCGATTCTAAATAGGACCTCGTTTTCTTTGGAAACCTCTTGAAAATGAAGTATATGACGATTTTACTAACATTGTTGGCATTTTAGAAAGCCACCCACGAGTGGGAAAATCAGAAAAAATAACGAAACTGTCCACAAATATGCATACACAAAAATATACAACAGTTTCTCGTGTTATGATGTATGTGAACTGTTTTGATCATTGAGAAATGATTTCGGGAAGGCATCTTGCGAAAATAAATGGACGGTCCTGGAAAACAATGACGCTATCATGAAACCGAAGAAGGTACTGTCTTTTTTTAAATTTACACCAAGAAAAACCAACAATTCCTTTCATAGAGGTCAAAATGCTTTTCACTGAGAATTGAATTAAAAAAGGAATTTTATGAAAAAATGCATCATTTCCCGAGAGCACCAAAAAATATTCTCATCTTCGATGAATGAAATATAACGGAAGGAAGTCGTCATTCTTTTTCTTCCTTTTGCTTCGTTGTAGGTTTTGAGCTCTGTCTGTAACTGCCAAAATAATTGATTTTGGGATTTTGATTTGAACACAATATCACTCTAAAAATTGGAGAACGAACGGTTGTTCAGAGGCGGTTTGGCACTATTCTATAATTGCATTTTGAACATAATCACCGTATTTTTTCTAATACATGTTCGTTGAAACTACCAACTTTGTACTCAATTACTTCGGTTGTTGTGAAAGTGATCAGAAAGTTGTCAATTGATAAATTGTTGATGATATTATGATAAACAATTTATCTGTTGGAATATTGTTGATATCTCTCACAGTAATCGAGAAAATGGTATTCAAAGTTGGCGGCCTTTGTGGGCTCCAATTAGAGGAAACACGGTATCTTCATTTCTGTATAAGATATCAATTTGCAGCAAACGGGAATTTTCTTGATAACATTATTCTATTAGATGGCATATTTTCGAAGTATCCAACTAAAAATTGATAATTAAGCGCAGAGGGTTTTGGGTAGAGCATTAACGGTAAGTGGTTATGTCGCAAACCCTCTGACTTTTTGTCTTTTGTGTTATTTTTTTGGCATCTAGAAATAATCTTTCTAACGATTTTACGAAAACGTCTAATTCTCAGGAAAATGAAATGATTCTCACCTAAAAGTTGCATTGTGAAACTATGAATAGAAAAATACCTTACATTCTAAGTAATATTGAAAATTGAAAGAAATTTGCTTCACATGTAGGTCTTGAAATTGAAAAAGGTTTTTTTGGAAATCAAATTCTAACGATATATTAACATATCTCCCTCCCACTCAATCAGTCTAGACGGTGTTCAATATCAACAGACAAATGTTTCCCAATATAAAAGCTATTAGAGCCCTTTTCCCGGAATCTGACTCAACAGTTGCCTAAAAATAAATGTTGCCGAATTTTTACGACCAAAATCGAGTACGTCGGCATGTGCACTGAAAAAACACGGAGGACAGTCGTTGTCGTGTTGACTTTTCTTGTTATATTTGAATTCTCCCACACGTTTTATGGCAAGTTGGCAAAAGGGTGTCATTCTCATTTTAACCTCTTCACAGTATGCTTCTTCCATACGCCTGTGTGACTGCTCTAGTGTTTTTGAGTATTATTTTCAGTGGGATTAGTTTGTTCACCTATGGTAAGTCACTAGTTTTTGTTTAAAGGGTTTTATTGGGGGGTTTCAGGTTGGGCTACCATCCGCCCATTCAATCCGTTGTATCCTTTGATTGACGATGATGAAATTCTACTTGGCTTGGTTCCATTTGACCCTGTAAGTTCGCAAAAAAATCTTGTAAAGACCGCCAGAAATTTAAAAATGCCCACCAGTCATAATTAATCAATCTCAAATCAATTTTCTTCCAAATTATCTCATCAAAAATGGTGTATAGGGTCTAGTATACGGATTTCCTAGACCAATACCCATCTATCTTGTTTCGATTTGTTTGTTTTCTGAAGTTTGATGAATCAGGTGAAAAACCCGTTCATATTGATAATTATTGGATCATCACTATGATCCTAATCTCTAGTCAAAAATTATGTCCTAGCCGATCAAAGCATATCCATCAAGACATATTCATGATGGATTGTTCTGACAGATCGCTGTCAGAAAAGTTTTTGGGATGGGCACGGTCTGGAAAAAAGCTATCATTGAAGCGCGTAAAGTGAACTTCGCAGTTCTGAAAAAGTTGCTTAGAATTTTATGATATCTTTGAAAACTTCAGAGTACACTAAACAAAAACAGAGCCTCGTTTTTGTCGTTTACAACGTTTTTGCCAAATTCCATTCTAATGAAATATGCAGTGAAATACGACTGAAATGGTAGAATTACACCATTCCCTCGCTCACCTAAACAGTCAACTAGAAGCTAAACTATCTCGATTTCTGTGAGAGATATCAAACATTTTATTTTATCAGTGGTCAAAATTTTGATATTTTGTACAGGAATTGCGATAAGTACGCTTAAAATTGACGGTTTGAGTGGGCTCCTACACTTAGAGGAATCACGGTAGCATTAAATAAGAGTTGTTTCATTGAAAACGAGAACATTGCTTTATTGGATTTGTCCTTCATGATGGTGTCCAAAGCAGAACTGAAATTGAAATTTTGTATTTAAAAAAAATTCTGAAGGTGAAATTGTCAGTCAAATTTGAAAATTTTGGATTATTTACTCAGTACTTCAAAGTTGACTTATTCCACTGGATAAGTCAAAACAACCGTGAAACCTCTAATGAAGTAGCCCCACACTGTCAAGTTTGATTATCTCAAATTCTACGAAAGAAAGTCAAAATTTGTCAACTGATAAAATGTTTGTCATAATATCGCCAATATTTTATTAGTTGACACAATTTGGATATCTCTCGTAGAAAATGAGGTAATTGAGCTCAAATTGCAATTATATGGTCACCTTCTATTAGAGTGATTACTGTAGTGAATCTTTTTTACTGTACGTATCAGTTTTCTAGCTTGCCTAGGTAATCAATTATTTATCAGAGAAATGAGTGTAAACTATTTCTAATGTTCTAAAGATGAGAAAATGGAGTCTTGAAGACTAACCGAATATATATTATCTCTATCTTATGAAAACTTGTTCCATTATTTTTTTTTCCAGGACACCCCGTTTGGATGGTTGGTTGCCACGTGTATTTTCATGTACCTTAACTTTGCGTGCTCAATTCTCACGTTTCTCTTCTGTGTGATAGGAGCTATGTGAGTTTTTGAGACATAAATTCCGACAAATTGGATTTTTCAGAATATTCATCCTCCGTGGTGACTCCAGATATCAAAAATACATTTATGTGATCTTATGTGGTTCTACATTTCTTACTGGATTATTCGGGGCGGTTGCATTTGTGATCTTTGTGGCGAGTTACCATGAAGAGTTGGAAAACTATTTCTATGGAGATGTTTCGGTAAAAAAAGAATTCTGTAGTTTGTAGTCTGATTGATTTGATTTGAAGATCGGATACTCGCCCTTCCTGGATCTAATTGGTTTCGTGATCGCGGTTCTCGCAACTGGTGTTTCGGCGTTTTTTGCGATCGCACTTCTGAATCCGAACGACGAGAATTAACATTTTTCTTTTTGTATTCTTTTTTTGATTAACACACACTAACACACAAAAAAATAAAAATGATTCGAATGATAAGAAAAACATTCTGTTTGCTTGTTCTTCCTCATTTCTTCTTCTGCTTCTTTTCCTATTTTATCAACTTAGATCCTGATCCCTCTCTCCGGGCACTTCTTGTCAAGCCCCGCCTGCGCACTCTCCAAGGATGGTCGGAGAGAGAGAGAAAGAGAATTAAGAAAATAGACAAGAAAAGGATAAAGATTGACATAGAGAGTGAATTGAAGCCGTGGGCGCCCCCGATTCACCTTTCTCTCTTTCCGCTCCACCAACTCTCTGGTCGCATTCACTTCACATGAACACCGTCATTTGCTAATTTTTCGTCTTTATCGATCAAGAAAATCCACATGAACTTGCCTATATTTCTATTATGCTATTTTTGGGGTTCGCCTCTTTTTGTGGATGCAGAGGAGGAGCTGAAATATAAAACTTTTGGTACCTCGACAGATACCAAACATCAATCACCGTGTATATGGAATCAAACTCAATGTAGGTCCAATTTATTTATTTCAATTATTTCAACGGTTTTCAAAAATAATTTTCAAATGTTTTAAATATTTTCAAAATTATAACTTCGGTTTTTGTTCTTAGGTATTCTACATTCTAAGTATTTCAGTATCATTTTTTGAATATTTATAAATTTCTCACAGCTACAAAAATTAATATCACTACAAATGTTCAATTTCTCATAACTTTGAGCATCAGATCCTTAGCTAATGGATGTTTCACTTTATTTCCTTTACTCTGCCTCTTAACAATTCCTAATCATTGATTTGCGTGACGCTTCGGATGATTCTTGTTGTAAGAAAAATATCCACTACGAGACTAGTGACAACATGAAGGCGAACCGCAATAAAATGAAATTAATGTCCCCACCATGGAACACAACACGTTCAGATGCGCCTCAAATACTAGATTTTTGGTGGTAAATGTTATGTTATGTTATGACTTCATTGTCATAATAAGCATTAACCTTATTCCAGTCCCATCAATCACTTAGATCATTGTATGAAGAACGAGATAAGATCAGAAGTCCGGCGCACTGTGTTTTTTTCTTTTTTGGTTTTTGCTTCTTCCGCGAGAATCATTAGGGATAATGATAATCGGGGGAAGACTGGGTGATTGACCTTTTTAAAACATCAGTATCGGGAAGTGAAAGAGAAAAGCCATCGTTTTTTTAGCTTGGATACATCCGTATCAGAGTATTACGGTAGAATGTTGCGATGAGGAATTGGGAGATCTCATCCGGAAAACCATTAATGATGCTGGCAGGAATGCGAAACTTGGAAACTTGGCAAAGGTTTTTAACTGGGACATTTAGGAATAATTTCAATTTTTTTTCAGTTCATCCAAAGAAGAGCCCAACTTCATTATCATATAAGTTTCGAGTCAATAATTTCGAAATCCAACTTCGCGATCTCAACTCACTACCATGGAACTCATTCCTGTCGGGTGCACGACAACAATCACTATTACCTGGTTTACGAAACTCCAATTCAAGTAAGTGATTTTATTTTTCATCAATGTTTCAAATGTTTTGCTTCCTCCCCTTCAAAAAACTCCTTACCGTTCCTGTTCTTGATAATTAGCTACACGTTTTTGTTTTGGTGATAAAATGTGATCATAAGAACAAGGAATCAAATTTGAACGATATGTGATGTATATGTTGACAGCGGATCCCAATTATCTGCGGGGAACCCGGATTTTTGTCAACAGTATATCCATTTCAGTTTATGGAGGCTAGGTGGATAAGATAAAAGAATTGGAACAATAATTTTTCTGAATAAAACAGATTTTTGGTAGATTCGATCAAACCAAGTTCAAAATTTAGATTTTCTCTGATAGAAGCCCACCCAAATCGTCAATTTTGAGCTCGATTATCTCGGTTCCAAACAGAGATATCACAAAATTTGCCAACTGATAATGTATCGGTGATAATATGATGAATTATTTATCAGTTGACACAATTTTGATACCTATCACAGAAATTGAGATAATTGAGTTCAAAATGGAAACATTGTGCAAGGCGTTTTATTGGAGACCTTACTTATAGTGAACTTTGATAAATTGAAAATTATAAAAGTCAGAAAACTCTTGAATCCGGGCTTTCCCGGCTACTTAGATATTCTGAGAAAATTTGAGAACCTACCGAAACAGTAAACTTTGAGCTCAATTATCTCGTTTCTTATGAGAGATATAAAAAAATATGTCACCTGATAAAACATTGCTGATATTATGATAAATAGTTTATCAGTTAACATGTTTTTGATATCTTTTACAGAAATCGAGATAGCTCCGCTCAAAGTTTACAGTTTAGGTGTGTTTATATCAAAGGAAATACTGTGAAAGAGCCAAATAGGGTCTTCATTTCCAAAATTAACCGCTTCTTGAATACCCTCATTTTTTTCTAGTATGACCCTTTCAACATGAGAACCGAAGATTACCTCTCCTCAATTGACTCCGCCGATCCTCTCGGAAGTACGAAACCACCAAATCTTCGCGGTGACTTCCCCGACATCCGAGAAGATTCAACAGCTGGTGAAGATCTTTCCATTCAACCACCAATTGACAGTATCCTTCAGTACCCCAACAAATTCGCTTGGCCAGATCCAGGTACATAGAGTCTAGTTTTTGTCTGATGTTATCAAGTTTTATCATCCGCCAGTGTTCCTGATATTTGTTGTATTCAGACGAGGAGATTTCCAAGAAAATCATGAAAGCTGAAGAGGAAGCTATACAGTCAATGAATGAACTAATGGAATCGGTTACTGAGATCTCGATAATGAACTCCATGGTCAACGCCACCGACGGACTCAATATCACCGAGATCGAACTTCCAAATCCCTCTCCAATCCCGCGTAATTTCGCTAATTTGCGCGAAAAAGATCGACTTCCTGAGAATACGCATTGTGATAAAGAACAGAAAGACGGTTGGTTTTTTATAAGATTTTTTTCCATATCCAGGAAGTCGGCAGGTGTGATCCTTGTCTGCGACAATTTTTATCACCTTCCGATAGACTGTGGTGAATCATAGAAATCTTCATTATGATTTCGTCATTTCAAACTACAAAATGAACACCTGATTCTGTATCTGTTTCTTGTTTAGGAAATAAATGTTGCGACGGACGACTAGCTTCAACGATGAGAGATGCGATGCGACATATGGCCACGTCTCCGGACTTTGGAAAAGGAAAAGAGGGGATTATTGCATCGGTAAAGAATTTATACAGTACCGGTTAATTTGGTGGATTTGCGGCTATTTTGACCATTGTCAGAAGTCGAGAGTTCGGCTGTCAAGTTTCCGACCGCTCAGAAAAGGCATCTACAGATTTTTCGTTATTCTCTATTTTTTAGTTATTTGCCGGCAACTGATTTAGTAATATACAATTAGTGATTTCCAATCCTTCCAATCACTAAATTTGCCTGAGTAAATTGCATTTTCAAAAAAATTCTCCGAAGAATTTCATTTTTCGTACCGCAGAGTTGAGTTTTTCGACCTCAATGAATTTTTGACTCATTTAAAGATAAATTGCCAATTTGGCGGTGATCACTTTTACCCCGTTGTACCCAGAATTATTTCCCAAGAAAAAGTGTCACTCACAAATTGACTAATATCTGAAAAACGGAAAATTTTCAAAAAATTCTGTGAATCCAAAATTTTCAATCTAGATCTGTTTCACATTTTTCAAAAATTTTGAAGTGATCGAAAAGCAGACATCCAAGCCCCAGTCTATTGAAAATGATCAAAATGGCTGAAAATCAACTGAAAATTCGTTTTTGTATGTCCTATTACCCGGTACTGTGAATTTAAAATTTTTGAAAATTTTAATATTTCAGGAGCTCCAACAAAAAGTACAACAGCGTTTCAAAAAGTCTTACGAAGTCATCGTTTCGCGTTCCGACTTTGTGGTTTCCTCATATAACGGCGGTGACACATTTTGCAAGTTTGAAAACAAAGGATTTTATATCTTGGCCTACTCCACCCCAAAACAGTATGATATTGATGAGAAAGAAGATGAAATGGAGTTAGCAGCCACTTCCAACAAAGAACCATTAGGCTCGAATGAGACAATGTTTGAAAACGAGGCTCCGTGGCACATCCCACTTCAATTAGAACGATCTGGAGAGCGAGCAGGATATCCTGTAGGCTCACATTGTACAGAAGCAAGGACAGGTAACAAACAATTTGTTCTCTCTTTGAAATTTGTATTTTCAGGTTCAAAATGTTGCAGTTTGATTCTATTCAACGCCATGAAAACCGGATACGACAATCATGTAGCCACATCAAATTTCGATGCGTATGATATCCGAAATATTTCGAAAGCAGTTCAATGGAATGTCGAGGAAGTGCTTCAACACTCCGCAGAAGTTATAGTTTCTTTGGATGACTTTGCCTATGCCACCTACAATAATAACAGTTATATCTGTAAATATAGAGTAGACAAATATTACATGCTAGCTTACACCACCCCAAATCATGATTTGGATGATTACGATGAGATGGCACTCACAAAAATCGAAACCGAGCCGGAAGCTCAACTTGTATTCCCTTCTGTTGATCGGTCCACAAATCAAGTCCCATTCCAAAATACGCCAGCTCCATACTGGACCACTCCACGACCAATACCAACTCAAGTGTTCCAACCAATACAGTATACCCAACAACCTATGTATCATCAGCAACAACAACAACCAGTTTACAATCAACAACAGCAATTTTTCAACCAGCAACCAATGTATCATCTTCAACCATCGTTCAATCAAGCGCCTCTTCCTTATCACTACCCGGGGCAGGCATCGCAGTTCAATCCGTTCTTGGCTAACAGTTTTCATCGGTCGAAAAGACAAATCGGCGCTTCGCCGGTGAGTAGCGCTTTCGAAAATGATTCCTTATCTCTCATCATCCAATATTTCTTTCAGTACCCCATCCATCAAAACGTCTACAATGACATTGGAAGTGCAAAACCGTTCAATTGTCCCGCAGGTCTTAGTGGGTTGTCGGGTATGGCTTGCTGCGACGGAGGCCTTCAGTTCGAAGCGAACAAAGTGATTGATCAAGCCAAACAGGCACCAGACTTTGATAAACACAACACGAGGAACCTCGCGAAATTGATGACTCGTGCAGTGCAAAAACGTTTTGGAACCACCTTTGAGTCTATTGTAGCAGAAGCTGATTTCTCATGGGGTACCAATAAGTTCAATGGGAGAACTTGTAAAATTGACAATGATGGGTACACCGCTCTGACATATCAGTCAAGCTCCAAACCACCACCACCGAGCGATTTTCTGGATATTGTAAGTGCCCTGAACCTACAGTAGACCTCAATAAGATATACAGAAATACACTTTTCAGTTGATTTCATTTTTGTTGGCAAAAAAAACAAATACTAGACTGTCAAGTTTCTGAGCAATTTGAAAATGTTTTGCCTGGATTGGAAACTTTACATTCACCTAATTTTTTGAAAAATTATAGTTTTTCAGATATTTGCTGATTTCTGAAAAACACATATTTTCGGCCCGTTTTTCTATTTCCGTTTTCTTTCGGAATATGTGTCTTTCAGAAATTGGCAATTATATGGAAAACTAGGAATTTTCAAAAAGTTCCGTACATGCAAAGTTCTCAATATAGGTCTGTTTCACACCCTTCCAGTTTTTTTCAAAAAGATTGGAAGTTTGACATCCAAGCTCTGAACTTTCAAAACCGTCTTTAAATGACGACAAATACTTCGTAGGGTACAAAAATTTCGGTGTCATTGGGGTAGAAAACAATTTTGGGGTACATAATCTTTGATTCGGGAGTACAAAATATTTGAAAGATTCCCATTTTTCCCCGAATTGTGAATTTTGTACCCCTTAATCACCCCCTCTTGTACCCCCGAATCGCTGTAACCTCCAAATTATATACCCAAAACGACTGAATATCAGCTGAAAAACACGTCTATGTATTTCTTATTGACTGTTTCATAATCTCAAAAATTTTTTAACTTTTCAGCCTGGTGATCCAACACTCGGTGGTCCAACTGGATCCAGTGGTGGCGGAGGAGGTGGTGGTGCCGGAGGCAATGGAGGCGGCGGCGGCGGCGGATCTGGAGGATCTGGTGGTGCTGCAAGTGCGGACGCGTCGTCTGGAGGTGGTGGCAACGGCGGAGGTGGTAATGGAGGAGGTGGTAATGGAGGTGGTGGTAATGGTGGAGCAGCTGGAAACGGAAACGGTGCCGCCGGAGGCAACGGAAATGGCGCGGCGGCCGGTAATGGTAATGGCGGTGGTGCTGGTAATGGTAATGGAGCCGGAGCAGGAAATGGAAATGGAGCTGGTGCCGGTGATGCGGTAAGTGGAAGAAAACGCTATTTTGGGTATCTGATCTCTGATTCCTACAGTCCGCAGCTGCCGCTGCCGCCCACGCTCAGGCTGCTGCTGCTGCCCAAGCCCAAGCAGCTGCTTCTGCTGCTGCTCAACAAGCTGCAGCCGCGGCGGCCGCCAATGCGGCTCAACAAGCAGCAGCCGCCGCTGCTGCTGCTAACAGTAACGACGCTTTTTCTGCACTTGCCGCTGCCGCTGGTGGTGCATGCTTTTCATTGGATACTTGGGTTACTACACCTTCCGGGAAGAAGCGTATGGACCAAATTGATATTGGCGACTATGTGTTGACAGCTGGATTAGACGAGGTTTGTCTTTCTCGACTATGAGCTCAATTATCTCGGCTCAAAAGATAACAAAAAAAATTTCAACTGATAAAATATCAACTGAAATTAATTGTCATAAAATCAACGATTTTGTGCGCTCCTAATTTCTCTTATTATTCTTTTTCAGACCTATTTCACACCAATCACCCTATGGATCCATCGAGAACCTGAACGTGTCCAAGAATTCCTGACTATTATGACAGAATACGGAAAAACTCTTCGGATGACCGCACGTCACTTCATGTACCGGAACAAATGTGGAAGTGGGTTTGGGTCCAAATTTAGTGGGTGGGAGAGGCAGTTGAGTTAAAAGTGTGTCTACTTCAAAATTCTTTTTAAAAATTTATACATGAATGAAAAATAGAAAAATTCTATTTTTGTTTTGTGACTTCAACCAATTTTTCCCAGATTCCTACCAAAAATACATCAAAATCCTTCCACACGACGCCGAGGCTATATTCGCTGAAGATCTACGCGTTGGCGACTGTGTTGTTGTGATGTATCGCGGGAAATTCCATCAGCAGAAGATTGAGAGTATCATCAAAAATGTCAGAACTGGAATATATTCTCCTCTCACCAATAATGGAAGAATAATTGTGAACGATATGCTGTCGTCTTGCTATAGTGAAGTGCAGCAAAACACACTTCAGACTACTTTTTTCTGGGTATTTCTGTTTTTTTTCTTTTTGAGGTGAAATGATTTCATGAAACCTTTCAGGCATATGACAAACTACGAAACAAGCTGACCGAGTTCTTCGGAGACTTATACAACAAAAAGGTATGTCTAGACATTATAACCCAGATTTTCATGAAAAGTTCAGAATAGATTAAGAATGGCCTAACTGGACACATCTGAAAAATTTAGGATTCGCTAGCTAGTTTCAGCCAACTTATATCAGTTTCAGTAACAAAAATCACGTTTTCGGTGAGAGAATCGTTTTTGAAGACAACTTTCTCAATTTCTAGGACGTTCCAGAACATGAAATGTTGTGCGTTTTACTCATTCTCTCGAAAAATAATTTTTTTTTCAAATTTTCGAATTTTTCATTACTTGGAAAGTTTTTAATTTATTTTCGAGTAAATCCAAGTAATGTAAAACTTGGAAATTTGAAAAAACTGTTATAGAAAAACCTGAAATTTGAAATTTCGTAAAATTTTTTAATATAACACAACATATTTCATGTTTAAAAACGTTTTGAAGTCGATATTTTGCACTGAACTCAATTTTTGGTTCTAAAAGTGCTATGATTCGGTTAAAACTGGCGAGCATATTCTGAAATTTTCAGAAGTGTCTAGATCGGCTATTTTTGACATATTCTGAATTTTCATCAAAATTTGGGTTTCAAAGATATTGGTGTTCCCTTGTAAGCTGAAAAACCCCAAAATGCCTCTTTTTAGATCGAGCTTCCAACTGGAACGACGCTGTCAAAGGAGATCATGAGTCTGGTGCTACCCATCAGGAAGTGAATCAGAATTTCACTTCCCAATTCTAATAATAATAGTACAATTTTGTTTACCTAGACGATGATCATTTCAGGGTATTGTGTCCAACACTAATTTCTTTCTCTATCCGTGTAGTTTTTCTTGTTCACCGGACCTGATCAAATCATAATAATAAATTATTGCTATACTGTAATTGTGTTAAACCAATCCGGTCAACAATGATTTCTGTTCTTTTTTAGATTGTGTAAGAGGAAGAGGAACTAACTTTTCCCAATAATGATTTCTGTTCTATAACTTTGTTTAAATTGTATAATATAAGAAAAGGAATAACAAAAAAATGAGTTTACTAGTTTCCACTTGTTGGAGCACACAACCGAGAAAAGAGGAACGTCAGGAAAGAATTTTGTTAGAAGAGAAAATTCATTTTATTTTTTATTTCCTGTTCGATGGCAACATGCACTGTACAGGCGAGAGGAAACAGTTGGAGAAGTCGTCGTCGATGCTGCGACGCTCCAAGTCGGACTTCTTGACGAGCCCACGCTTCAGTCCCAGTTGGGTTTGGGCTCCGCGATTTCTGGAATAAAATTTGCTTTGTTTTCCCTTGTATTTTTAATTTTATCCGATTTAATCACATCATGTCTACTCATTCATGATGAGCGTGGAAAATATAGTACTGCGGGACGAATTATTAAAACAAATCGGATTTGTCTAAACCTCCGGATCAAAATGTGTCCCTACATATTTTCTTATTTGACAAAGATCTGGAACTTTAAGAGGAAGTGATAGTTGATTTTTTGCGGAGAAAGCGGAAAGTGTACCTCATAAGTAGACGGATCAAGGCGTCATTTGATAGTCGCTTCTGAATAAGCTGATCATCTCCTTCATTCCGTGGAACCATTGGAATGGCGTTGACTAATAGACAAATGGCAAGAAGAGCCACAAATAGTTGCCAGAGTTTACTCATTGTTGGGATTGCTAGCGAGCCACGAGAGCTGACAAAAAGTATAGAATGAAAAATGCGCTTGAGTATAAGAGGACCTTGGGGCGAGCGCGGTGGGCGGAGACTCAGGTAAAATGGAGGGAAAAAAAAATCAAAAGTGAGGGGTTTTCACAGTACACTGAACTCGAACAAAAAAATGTATAAGCGTTTAAAGACATCTCGAGTGATGTGGGAGAGCCCACGCAACAAGGTTTTTTTATGTGTCCTTTGCAAGAGTTAATCCGACCGGAGCAAATGTGTTCTTCTTTTTGTTTCCTGGAATATGGGGAGCCATTCAATTGTTTCGAGATTGTAGGGTCACATGTGATGGGCTAAATAATGAGCAACGTCATCAACAACAACATCTGGTGACTAATGAAAAATTACAGAGAAAAAATGGAAAATTCCAGTTTGGGTCAGTGTAGCTTATAGTTGCGATTTCAGGATTTTTAACAAATTCTTCTAGTAGAAATTATAGCAAGCATGACGCATTTATTTATACCAAGAAGTATTTAATAAAACGTCATTTTCTTGAAAAAATGACCATTTCCAAAATACCCAATCACGAAAAATCCAATGATATTATTCAATGACAAATTATTTCCAAAATTTCAAGCTCAACAGACTATACATAATTTTCTACACAATCTTAATCACCTGTTAGACGCAAACTGAGTTTTTTGTGATCTTTGGAAACGCTGAAAATGTTCTTTATTCTGAAAACATCCACCATAACGAAATTTGATTACCTGTTCCATATTCAAATCAAGTGCTGAGAGTTGGTTTCTCTTTTTTTCTTTTCTCTCCCATAATCCACAAACGAGGCAAAAAATGGGGTGTGAAATAAGGTGCAAAAAATGTAAATTCAAAGTCTAACTGTCAATTTTTAATGTGATTTTCTTTTCATGAATTCATTTGTTTCAAACTTTCAAACAAACGTCATTGGAAATGTCTACAAAGTTTATTTGGAGCAAGAGGAAAAAGTAGAAATCTCAGCAGTGAGGGTAACAGAATAAAAAAACCCATAAATCAGATTAAAAGTTATTAAAAAATATATAAAATAATTATGAAACTTATGATATTAATTTAATTGAATAGCATAAACGCTCTAATGAAACGTTTGCACTTTATGTTATAATTTAGCTCAATTATCTCAGTTTGTGTAGAGGATATCAAATTTTTTTCACAAGAAAAATAATGGTGATAATATAACAAAGATTTCATCAGTTGACAAATTTTTGATATCTCCCATAGGAACCAAGATAATTGAGCTCAAAGTGCACGTTCAGGGTGGCGTTCTTTTAGAGAATATACGCCTCAGACAAACGCCATCCTTGCACGTTGAGCCCAATTATCTCAATTTCTGTGAGAGACAGCCCGAGTTGTGCAACTTGCAAAAACAACTTTATCATAATATCAAAGACATTTTATCAGTTGACAGATTTTTGATATCTGGCATAGGAACCGAGATAATTGAGCTCAAAGTGCATGTTAAGGACGGCGTTCTATCAGAGCATATACAGTAGTTACCGTATACCTCTCAGATGAACGCCACCCGTGCACTTTGAGCTCAATTATCACGGTTTCAATGAAAGATATCAAAAACATATCAACTGGAAAAGGCCCTTTACAATATGTAAGTCGACTTCAAATATCGAGATATCCAATTTTGAATATTTTCAAGAATAGGGCGGTTCTGCTGGGAATTGGAGAGGCACGGTAAAAAACAAATCTTGGAAGAACTGACAAACAAATTAAGAGGGGAAAGGTAAGGGAGGAGTGGGATTACTTCAACAAGAAAGGCAAGGTAGATATTCAAAAATGAACGGAATGGATGGCAAAATGATGATGATCGTTGGTGCAATCAGAAATCCGGAACCTTGGTCAGGGTGTTGACATCTGGAAAATCCACAGTTGAATCAGGTTACTTCATTTGTGAGATCATTAGTGGGCTCAATGTCTCTATCATATTCAGAAACATCCAAATGGTGGCGTTTTAAGGCAGACCCTTTTTTTTCAAACGACTTTTTTGATTTTTGAAAACATTATATAGTTTCTGAAAAATTCATAAATATTAGGTTGGCAACTAAGTCTTTGTGCGCTTTTGTTTTCCTCGTTTCTCTTAACTGAGCTAGAACAATAACATGTGTGTAATAGGATAAGGTATATAGGGTGATAAGGTTGTTCACAAAAACCAGCATTTGCCCTGCTCTTATTGTTGGCAAGTTCAAGAACCAGGATTTTTCAATGAAAGATGAAACATGTCCCAGGCAACCAGTTTTTCAAAATTCAGACAAGGTGAGAGATCTAGTCGAACGGGACCCTTTCTAATCTACTCGTGAAATGTCAATCACTTTAGGGACAACCCATATCACTATTGAAATTGGATTGTTAATGTTGGGAAAGACAGAAAAACTTGGACGGCGGATACCTCACCTTTTTGATCAGTTTTGATGTTTAGCGGAGAGTGGACACGTGTATGCAACTTCTTACTCTACTCGGGAACTTTAAGCGGCTGAGTTTTATTATTACCTTAGATAAGAAGAGGGTCATATATACTAACCATCACAGAAAAGCCCAATGCCTTGATTTTAATAAACAGCCAGTAGACGTCATCAAACAGGAATTTCACCCAAAAACATTTGGTATTAAAAGGGGCGTCCCGTTCGCAAGCGGAATGAGCGCAAGGCAAATGATGGTTATTGTGTACAATTTTATCATCTTATATACTATATCCGGTTACACACATGATACTGTTCTAGATTAGTTAAGAGAAAATAGGAAAACAAAGGTGCACAATGACTTAGTTTCCAATCTATTTCTAATTACTAACTCGGTTTTCCATCTACCATTTACTACAAATATATGTTCCTGTTATATCTCCTAGATTCATAGACATTTCGAGTGTTAGTGGTTTTCTTCCCTTCGTTGAAATAACACTATTTCTGAGCATCCTGAATTTATTGAAGTTCTGAGAATTGTGGGATGTCGAGAAAATTTGATTTTTCAACATTTCGAGCATTCTAAAAAATTCAAAAATTGAAACGTCGGCATTATTCAAATGTTACGAAAGTCCGAAAGATCAATTCTCGAAACTTGTAATATTCCGGGAAATCGAAAGTCTGAAAAGTGCGATTCTACACACTTTTGTTTTGAACTCGGAACAGCTGGCTCTAGAAGCCAAACACCTTCCATTTAGTGTTCACCTATTTCAGATTTTTTTTTTTTTCGAAAAAGTGGTTTTTTTTTCGAAAAAGTTTTTTTTTTTCGAAAAAGTGGGTCAAGTCCATTCAAAAAATCATAACTTTGTACAGATTGAAGATAAAACGATATACTAAACTGTAATTTGTAGCACGGATTACTGGCTACAAAAAATCTAATTACACCTTTATTCTATCTCTGCAAAAAATTTTACTATGATAGGAAATGTGCGAATGGTCCGATGGTATGAAATCAAAAAATGTCGATTTTCGAAAAAAAACACCTTTGGGAGACTATGTCTATCCGATTCTTTTTATGTCATAATGCACAACTATTATTTCAAATATATAGCTCACCGTTCATTTAAGAGAGATTTTCGAAAAAAAATATTTTTAAAGCCAATTCCATGTACATGGTATTTTTTAAAATGTGAAATTTTTTTTTCGAAAATTTTGACTTCTTGATCACGGTTTGATCATTTTCTGTCAAAAAATAACTAAACCAACTGAATCTTTCATTCTCATAGCGTTTATGTTGTATATGGAAAAATGTGTTTAAAAAATACCATGTATAGGGGTACAGGGAATTGACTTTAAAAATATTATTTTTTCAAAAATCTCTTTTAAATGAACGGTGAGCTATATATTTGAAACCATAGTTCTGCATTATGACATAAAAAGAATCGGATAGACATGGTCTCACAAAAGTGTTTTTTCGAAAATCGACATTTTTTGATTTCATACGATCGGACCATTCGGACACTTCCCATCTTAGTAAATTTCTTTGCAAAAATTGAATAGCGGTGTAATTAAATTTATTGTAGCCTGTAATCCGTGCTACAAAATACAATTTAGTTTATAATTTTATCTTCAATCTGTACAAAGTTATGATTTTTTGAATGGACTTGACCCACTTTTTCGGAAAAATCACAAAAAGTTTTGCCATTCTGCTCAACCTGCATATGGGCACCTTATATGATCCGTTTTGTGCTATTCCAGCGACGGGACATTTTTTGCCACCAACATCTAAGAAAAAGCGAAACTTCACTTCGGGTACTTCCCCTGTAAAAGAAATCGCATTACTAAAATAGAATCAGATTTTGAGCGATATTCATTATCAGTAAAAAAAGCTCTAAACGTTTAGGACTACTACTAATTTCTTTACATCCCTCGACCAAATTTCAAAACTTTTCAAAAAATTTCATCTTTCTTGTTATGTTACACTGATTAATTTATTCAAATTCCGACGTATCATCTTTTCATGACAATTCATCCTATAATTCGGGACTTATGCCGCGTTCAAAATTGATTTCCAAGAGTATTTCCTGGAAAAACACTGTCCAAAGTTGCGATTGTTTTCCAGATTTACAGCAACAGTAAACTACTTTATCACTCGTTTTGACTGTGTTCTTCCTGTTGATTCAAGTCGATTTACGGCGGGTCTCGAAGCGGAGGCCTCTGGAAAACAATGGCAGCTTTGGACAGCGTTTTTCCAGGAAATTACTCCTGGAAATCAAGTTTGAACGCGCCATTATACAAACTTTTAAAATTCATTTTCTTCCCCCTCCCATTCAAAAAACCACCCTCAAATACGCTGCCAGATACAACTAACGGTGACTCACAATCTGCCGAAATGACGTTTTCCAAAACCAGGCCAATGAAGCTTCGATCTGGGATATCTGGGTCCGTGGTTGTCATTTTTCTCTCCGGCTCGAAGTACCATCCCATATGCCTACTACAGGCTTTGCATTGACAAATCGTCCATTTGAAGCCGGGGTACCAGGTGTCGTGAGATTCGGGCTGAAAAAAAGAGAAAAATTAGCGAGGGATAATTGGGTTGGTGTTTGGATTTATGATTGTGTTCTTTTCAGCTGGAAGAGGAACAGAAAAGGCATACTTGTGGAAAAGATGGCCGGGCCGGCCCGCTTTTCGAAAATTTTAAAATTTTAGAGCGAATCATCATTTTTCAAGATGGTTTTTCTTCTTAGTGAATGAAAATCCACACTAGAGACCGATATTGTCGACAAAAACTGTTTTGAAGTCGTAATTAGAAAAAAAAAATTCCATCCTCGGCTTAAAGAAGTTTGATTTTTTGCTAAAAATTCAATTAAATTGACTTTTTCGGATGGTTGTATGCATTTGGATTAATATTTGTGCCATTATAAATATTTTGGCTCATTCGAAAAATAAAATTTTCGAAAGTTGTCCTAGGCGGGCCGAGCGGGCCGGGCCTGGCTGGGCCGGGCCGAAAGTTTTGAGGCAAACGGGCCGGCCCGGCTATCCACGTGTATGAGAAAAGGTTTTAACCCTTCTATCAAATTTCGTGAAAGACCGAACGTTTTTATATTGCATCGGCCTCTGGAAACTCAACAAGGTTAAAAACAGAAAATTTTGCCAATTTATGCCTTAAAAGTGTACACTACCGATGATCTTTGGACATTTTGACCTATTCTAAGATTTTGAAACTCACATTCAGCTGTCAAGATTCTGTTAACTTGGAAATTGTGAAGAGTGTATTGTCTATTCAAAATAATCGCGCGGGTGAACGAGTAAAAAAACGAGTAGAGAGTCTCCAAACCTGTAGAGGCGCTGTAGAGACGCAGACATTTTTGCTCGTTCACTCGCGCGATTATTTTGAATAGACAATAAGTGTAAAACAGACCTAGATTAAGAACTTAGCCTTCGCAGAATTTTTCAAAATTTCCTAGCTTTTCAGTTATTCGCAGATTTCAGAAATACACTTCTTTCTGGATCGTATTGCACTGAAAACATGAAAAAACAGATGTCTTTCAGAAACCAGCAATTATCTAAAAAACTAGGAATTTTGAAAAAATTCTGCGAATGCAAAGTTTGCAATCTAGGTATGTTTCAGATGATTTGCAAGACGTTTTTAGTACTGCTCCTCTCTCTAAAATTTTATCCGGCTTCAAAAAATGAGAATTTTTTAAAATCACATTTCCATAGTAATGTGTTCAAATTAGAGCTCAACCTCAAAATGGCCTTGATGTCTGTTATTTCTAAAAGCTATTAGCCGTTTCTAATGTTTTATTTTTATCTTTTCTAGCTTTTTCAGTCGAAACAATCTCCATATATTGCATTAAATCAGCTGCCGAGCGCACCGACACGCGACGCGCGCACGCGCGCATGCGACACGGCAGATCACCTGTCGGTCTTGCTGGTGGTTATATCTACTTATAACCAGCCTACCTGGCATTTTTGTCGAGTTTTAAGTTGCAAAATGGGGTCTCTGTTCAAAATGCCATGTGTAATACGACAAAAACTGAGAATTTTGAACGGATTTTCACTGTTTTTAAATGATACCGCGTTTTTCTTTTCCCGAAAAGCTGTTCGAACTTTCTAAGATATTTTTCTTCTGACTAGCTCTCTTTTCCTCTGACCCGATCCGATTTAAAACTTCTTGGTCACCACATCCCCCGTTATCACAGCTAATCGGCTTCTCAGACTTCCCCAGCCAGATGAAAAGAGCAAAAACGATATAGTTTTGATACATCTATTTTTAAGAGAATGATATCATCAGCTAAAAAATCGGGCCGTTTTCATGAGCGATTTTTTGAAAGATTGAATTCATTATCCTTGCAACAGATTTATTTTTGAAAAATTGTTTTTGGCAATCTTTCATTGACGTCAACTCAAAAAATCCTTTTTTGTTCTGGTCTTTGTTGCACGATTTTTCTAAAAAAGCTTTTTCAAAATTAAAATGTCACCTTGCCATGGAAATGAAGATGAGCCGTCTTTGCGCCGAAAACGTGAAATTTGTGGCCTTAAAAACATTTGTTTATTTTTCCAAAAATCAAATTAATAATACCTTGTGGATTTTTGAGAACGTGTACTGTAGTAGTTTTTCCAACCAATGGAAAGTCGTACTCGTATTGCAGCTGATTGACGTCTACACCAGTGAGATTGTGCAGCTCCGATTGCCTGGTTATCGTTGCTCCACACTGTCTACAGACAATTTCTCCAACATGTCGAGCGTGTGCTAAAAATCGTCGAGTTTTTTGACCTGAAATTTCAGAAAAAATGAAGACTTACCTTGCGCCAAACTGAATAATAATACTACGAACCACATTTCCCGTACGATCGATAAATGGACAGTGGTCCCCTTTGTACGCGAAGGACCCACTTCCACGTACAAACGACGCTCCGTTATCCCGCGGTGTGCGCGGTGTTTAGCGTAAATCGACAGTGTGTCGTGGAAGATTCTAGAAGGTATTTTTGCCTACTTTCAGCAATAATTACTTTAATTTTGAAGAAAATCACTAAAATTTTGGTTTGGAATGTTCTTAGCGATATTGAAAACCTAGTTTGAATTGAAAACAGTACTTTGTCCAGTGGAAAAAATGATTTGTCACAATTTTAAAGATGGGACGGTGAGAAATTGGATTTTCTCAGTTTTCAGCGTCTCTTCAAAGATTTTCAGCAGGATTTACGGCCGGATTACTTAGCGGATGCTTTTGGAAAACGTTTTATAGCGTCAACAAAGGTCTGGAACTGGAATTTCAAATTTTTCGTCTGATTTCACCGATATGAGCCAAAATTTTGAAGGGAATTGCTGAAATTTCCCTATTTTGAACTCGACACAATACTTTTGTCTGTCGGAAAAATGATTTAACATTATTTTGTAATACGGAACGGTAAAAAATTGGATTTATTCAGATTTCAGCTTTTCTTCTGAGGTTTCCACCAGGGGGGTAAACGGCCAGATTATTCGGAAGATGTATTTGGAGAAGTATTTGCAACGTTGACAATGCTCAAGAACTGAGACTTCGAGTTTTTTCGCCTATTTTACGCGGTAGTTTGAAGGAATGTTGAAGGAATTCGTTTAAAACTCGGTCGAAATTGTTTTCAGCAGTATTAGAAACCTATTTTGTGTCCGAAACGGTGAATTTTCCCATGGAAACAGTGATTTAAAGCGATTTCGTATGATGGAATGCTGAAAACTTGGATTTTCTCAGGTTTCAGTTTCTCTTGGAACAGAAATTTTGAGTTTTTTGTTTTTTCACCCGGAATCTTCGTCTTCAACACTTTTAATGTCTAGTTTCATTCAAATCCAATAAAAAATCGGACAAAAATTATCAATACAATGCAAAATGAAGAAATAGTGCAAATCAGTTGAAATACAGAGCTTTTGTGGAGGACTTTGGTGAGAGGAATCGGGGATTTCCAAAAATGGGTCAAAAAAAGTAAAAAAGTACAGTAAGACTAACAGGACAATGGTGGAAAAAATGACGATGGAAAAAAAGAGGGGCTGAGGGCAATAAGAAAGGAATGGAGATCAGAATTCAGAAATTGTTTGTTGAGTCAAGGAATTCTAACTGTCAAGGTTTGAATAAAGATTTTTCTGGGGGGACGGGACGATGAGCTCACCGGCTGACTTCGATGAAACGACACAGAAACTAGAGTAAAAGCTTGAAGAGGGGGGTGTAGTAAAGCCAAAACCATGCAAATAAAGGACCTACAGTTCTTATAGGGAGGTACATTTCAGGGAGGATCGGAAAAGAGGGGAACTTTGTAGTTCAAGGAAGAACTTGGTCAAAGAATATGGGAGAGGAAAACGCGACACACATTATTAGATGAATTCAAAAGTTATTGCAGTGTAAGTTTGTAAAATTTTAAGGATTAATTTCGAACCAAAAGAAAAAATGCAAGAAGGAAATAAATCTAAACTTCTGAAATTCATGGGCTCTCCTCCTTCTTAACCTCAGCAATCAAGGTGTTCATATCGGCAAAATTGGTTGGGCTTGTGGAATTAGCAGCAGCTCTGGAGCTCTCAGTTGGAGTTGGCGATGAGCTTCCAGCGCGGCTGTTAGATTTCGAGTCGTCTTCAGTCTTCAATGGAGCTCCATCAGTGATCTCAGCGGTTGCTCCAGCTGGGGCGTTAGCCATTAGCTGAGAGCGGAAAGCATCCATGGCTCTGCTGAGCTGTTGAACGTAGAGAAGTTGAGAGGTGACTGGAGCAACTCCTCCGAAGAATAGGTTCAAAGCATCGGCATTGGGCATTGTCGTGGCAGCGTTGATTGGGGAAGCTGTTGTCACTGGTACAGATGGAGATTGTGATCGTCGGTCTGCATTAGCCATTCGCACTTGTTCACCTGGAAAAAGGATTCAAATAGATCAAGTCACCCATGAACTGTGGACTTACTCAAAAGATGAGCCGCCGCTTGTTGATTGATAGCAGCGAAAATGGCTTCTTGGTTCAACATCATCTGATATGGATTATCTCCGTTGGAGGTCGGAATATTTAGTGGTGCTTGGTAAGGATGGTGTGTACTGCTTCTTTCCTGTTTGCGATATTTGGCTCGGCGGTTTTGAAACCATACCTGAAAAAAAAAGATGATTTGGATTTGAAGCGCTGATTTTGGTGTTTTTTATCGATAGAGTAAAAAATGTCAAACTACCGTAAACACTCTAACAGAAATCTACTTTCAACTTTGAGCTAAATTATCTCAGTTCCTGTGGCAGACATGAAAAAGTTGTCAACTGACAGAATATTTTTCATAATATGACACACATTTAATCAGTCGACAACATTTTGATATCTTACATAGGAAACGAGATATATAAGCTCAAATTTGACAGCTTGGAGCGGCTGGGGGCGTCCTACTATAGTGTTTACAAAAAGTTTTAGGGCTGGAATTTTTTTTTGTATTGTACCGATTCATAAGATATACAAAAACGTATTTTCAGTCCATTGCCTACCACTTTGAATATGTTCTGGAGTCTGAGGTTCGGATGTCAAGTTTCCTGTCACTTAAAAATTTTTGGAATGTGTAAAACAGACCTAGATTGGAAACTTTGCATTCACAGAATTTTTTAAAATTTCCTAGAAAATTTTTTTCAAAAACATCTGTAAATGCAGAATTTTTAATCGACGTCTGTCGAGCTCCACACTCTTGAAAATGGTACATATGAACGAAAATTAACTGAAAACTATGTTTTTGTAAATTTTCGTGATTAATGCAGTTAAGCAAGCCTTACTGTCCCAAAAAGTTTAAACAATTTATTCACAGCTACTGTACATCCTGTAACTCTGAATAGCCTAACTTCTTCACTTCATTTTGAAACTAACATTCTAATATTTTCTAATATTTTTGAATATTATTATAGCATTTTCAACATAACAAAAAATCCTGATTATATTTAAATTGAATTACTCTGCGGATGACTTCCGCATGTTCTCTCTTCATTATAGGATTATACGTTGTGATGTAATCTAATTATAAGCACAGGTAATGTGATCTAGACAAAGACACTAATTATTAGAAGTCCTGCTGGTCCCCCCTGTTCTCCTGTTTTTCTCACATGCCTAGGTGACGACAACCTAATAGATAAGCAATTGGCGTTGCGATGAAAATCGCGTGAAGCAATTTAGATAACATCGCGTGTCCAACTAATTTTTTTCACTACTGCTTGGAATACAAGTACTCTTTCCGTGATATAAAATCCAATTCTGCACAATCTTCGTCATTCCAAAACGACCACATGCGTTTGGGATATGATGAGATCTTCGCGCATTTATAATTTGCTATGCATTATCAAATGAATTTGAGTAGTTGGGCACTTCTACTGTAACTTACTTGAACTCTGGCTTCTGTCAGTTGAACTCGTGTCGCCAATTCTTCCCTGCAAAAAGATGTAATTAAGCACTCGAAAGAGAAGGGATTTTGGGTCCCCCTAGGTTCTTGAATAGCGCACCGGATAGCAATTGTCATTGCTCAATTAGGTCTGAATTGCGACCGGACCTTGGTATTCCTTTTCGGCATTACGACAATTGATCATGCATTGTTTTTGACTACGCGCACGCAGTGCGACACTTAGGGAGAGCCGAGAGCACAAGTCAAATCTCCGTGCTCACGGTAATTAATCCTCAAGCGGAAATGTCTAATTGATGAGCTAACAGGTGGTAGTCCCGCGGATACACGACACATAGGTGGGAACACTCTTGTAATTCGTGAGAATTGTGAGAAGATTGTCATCTTTGTAGAGATACCATCAAATTGAGAATGAGAATGTCAATGTTATTACAAGGTTACAGCATCTAAATTCTCGATCTTTTAATGATGATGAGAAATTGGAAATTTCACTACTTTCCATTCAGCAATTCAAGGAATTTCAATATTTCAAAAATATTTTTCCCTGCTTTTCCCATGAACCATGTTTGAGCAAATGAGTTTGGTGGGATGGTGCTTCCTTCAATTAAAGCATTCATTTGGCCCAGGCAAATACACACCCATACACACGCAAGGGCCCGACACTTGATATTGTGCATTTTGCATGATTGCTTCATTATGAGTTTCGCCTTCTTTCCCTCCTCCCCACTACTTCATTTTTCATTTTGGTTTTTATGAAAAGGTGAAATAATAAAAATAGGGAAAGTCGAAGAAAAAGAAGAGGAGGAAACGACCTTTCTCATTATCATGTTTGAAATTCAGACTGCCATATGGTGGAGAGGAAGGCGAACGCTACTGTTTCGAAATTCAGAATGAAATTTTAATACTTAATTGGTGGGACCCACAGGTTGCCTGATTGGTTTCTGTCACTTACCGAGTGAACACATCTGGATAATGGGTTCTAGCGAACACTTTCTCCAGCTCGTCTAATTGAAAAGCGCTGAATGTGGTACGGTATCTTCTTTGTTTCCTCTTCCCATTATCATCTGGACTGTTCGTACCATCTGATGGAGACCCATTTTCTCGGCCATCAAGCGCAGATGTCTCTAGAATGTTCTCTGGAAATTCAGAATTTAGAAAAGCTGTAAATTATGTGGGAGGTGTACCTAAGGTAGGTGTCTTTTTGCCATCTTCTTCCTTCATATCGTGTTGGCTATTTGTTAAAGCTGCAATTGAGAAAGCTGGTGGAAAAGAAGGAAACTGTAGTGCAGGATTGGCAAATAATTGAGCCTGAAAATAGTTGTTAAGAACTGAATCCTCAAAAACGTCAAAAACCTGTAACTGTTCCATCAAATTCTTAGGAAACTGATTCAAATCGTTGGTTCCATTTCGCAGCAGTGGTGGACAATTCATTTCTTTCGGATCTTTCTGGTCTTCTTTCGATTCCTGCTCCTCTTTTTTCAACTCGGGCATACACAGTGTGTGTGAAACCGAGCTGAATCGTGATGAAATGGTGAAATGATAAGGGAAAACACTGAAAATGTAAGATGAAAGGATGATGATCATGGAATAAGAGAGAAGAAAAAATAAACAAGGCTAAGAGGAGAAGTTAATTGAATCATAAAAATAAAAATATTTGCATTTGGGAACTGGGAAGGAAAGGTGAGCATCAAAAAATTAATAATATTATAATAGGATCCAAGGGTCTAGCTTCTTGAAACACTCATCTTCTATTTTTTGCTCGCTAAGATAAAAATAAGTGATGTGGAAGAGCAGAGAAGACAGAAAAAGAGACCGATGAGGAGCTAAAAAAGTGATGAGAAAATTCAGAGATTTATCTGCTTTATTTCGAGATGATCTATTTGACAAATATAGAATTATAATCAGATAATTTGATTGTGGGCGAAAGGATATGGTAACATGGCTTATCGAATCAACGGAGAAGAAAAATGTAGTGTTATTTTGAATGGTGAGCCATGGTTTAATACTTCATTTACGCACGCGGCGGACAAAGTCTTAATTTTTTCGAATTCAATCTTAAACGGCCGTTTTATCCGCCATCCTCTTGGACAAGCCTTGTCTCATTGAGCGAATGAACCAATCTTAAGAACGGTTTGTTATATCTGGAGTAGCAGAATATTCCGCTGCTGTGAAAACGATAGGATCTAAAATTAGGTTCTCTGAATATATATCTGCAGATTACGAGGATGGGATGTATTTATGAACAGGAAGTGACTTCAATTTTAACAAGAATAAGCCGATTTTAAGGGGCTCTACTGAAAAGGAGTAAAAAACCAATTGACCATATGGTTCGAGTTCCCCTAATTTGATAAAACAATCTCTTTTGAGGTAAACCGCCTGGAGTGAATTTTGTTGAAATTTTCTTATCAAGAAGAGATCAAAAACGGAAGCAGAGACCCTCTGATGCCAACCGAAAATTACAATGAATTAGACTAATTCGATTTGTGTTCGCCTGCCCATCGGGAAGGGGAATCTACCGAGAACGATGAATGGTATCCTCATATTCAATTAGTTAATGTGTTAAAAGATGGCGTGGAATCGACAAAAACGGCAAGGTAGGGGAGAGGTACACATTATTTTCTTGTTTTCCTGCCCGTTCACCTTTTTGGCCCTGGGGTCCCGGGGTAGGAGTCGCTTTTCCTGTATGGATCGAATTACCATTTGGCACATTTTCATTAACTAATGAAATTATGAGAATGTGGTCCCGACCCGTTAAAAGGTGTGATCGCGGGAGGAGACGAAAAATAGGATCAGCTTTCAGCCAGCGAAAATGGAAAATGGGAATAGCAGAATTTTAGCTGTTCTAGTTTAATTCAAAAAATTACGAATTTCCAAAGAACCTGGACACCTAGTTTAGTACGAAAAGACTAGATTGCTGAATAGGTTCATTAATAGATGTGGGGTACCTAGAGGCGGTGCATATATTAAGACGACCCGGTGTAATGATATAATTATTGTGGTTATACTAATTTTCTGTTTTCAAAATGTGCCTGCCAACTCTATTCCTCCGATCTTACTATTTTCCATATGGATTATATGATATGATGTGAGCCAAAAAATGTGCGAAAAAAAAAACTACGGTGAGGATGAGAGGATCTAATTGAATTAGGTTTCTATATCACCCACATAATTCGGATTAACGCTAAAAACGACTTTTTCGGAAATTGGTTGATTTACCGGAAATGAAACAACTCACGGAGTTCGACGACTCACACGTCTCTAAGAGATCATATCACGAGCAAGAATCGAAATTATTTGAAAATACATAAAACTTTTAAGCTAAAAGTTATGATGTAATTAGTCTCTTACAGAAAAGAAGAGGAAAGGAGACAATTGGCAAGTGTCAAACCCTTCCGTGGAGAAAGAGAGCAACACTACACACGCCATTTCTGGCTCCGCCCACTTTTTTGCCATCTCCTTGTGTGTGTCTTTTCCTCCCCCACCGTAGTAGTTTAAGGAAGGCCGAGTTATTGGAGATACCTGGAGACATTTCAAGAACTTCTAAAAGTGTTATTACAATGTTTGCAGAATACAGTAATCCCCCATGTATTAGATCCTTCCGGTTGTCTATTGTCTTTATTTAGGCAGTGATGCAACAGATGGGGAAAATGAAATGCGTGTAAGGAGGAGAGGGGAAAAATAAGGTAAGACAAGAAGAATGGGGGGGGGGGGGGGGGTAGATGTAGAAATGCAAATTAAACATTTCAATAATTTGAAATGAGGGTTCTAGTTCATAGAATATTGAAAAGATGTGGATGGAGACACTATTTTTTTTTCAAAAATCCTATTCCAAAAAATTTATGAATTCTGGATCTCAAATTTTATTCAGAAGATCGGAGAGTTACAGTACCGGTCAATAAGGTATACAAAAACATAATTTTCAGTTGATAAATTTTCAGATTGCTCAAAAACTAGGAATTCTTTGAAATTCTATAGACGCGAAATATTCAACCTAGATCTATGTTACACTCTTCCAGCCGAGCTACAGACTGCTGAAAATGGTAAAAATGACATAAAATGAATTGAAAAATGAGTTTTCGTATATCTTCTAGAGCTATAATGTACATGATTCTCAGACATGAAAAGAATTTTCCCAGACTCTCTAAAAAATGAGTAAATTAATAAACAGTGTGCTACACCGTTTGAACAAACCGGAACTGTTTGCAGAGGTCAATAGGCAAATGTTACGGCAGAAGGCCGGACTGTATGCCTGTCTCGACGGTTTACGACGGACCACGCAACACAAAAACTGTTGCATCGATTCCGGAAGTATCAATGAGCCGCCGCCAATTGACCCGAGTACTTTCCCCCATGCTGTGCACGGGTTACGGTGTCTCTAATCCTATTGAGCAGAAAATTAAGTTGAGGGGAGGGAGGAGGCAACTGTCTCGAGCAGAGACAGAAATTCTACACTTATTGATATCAAATTGGCGTGGAAAAGTTTATTTTTAATCAAATCTAAGGGACAGATACTTGAATGGCTCTTATTTCCCAGAAGTTATCCTAATAGGGGCACTAGGTCAACATCCGGAATGGATGGGGGTGGCACATGGCCATTCTCTATGTTTTTTTATGACCATACTCAATCAGGAATTATGACAGGTCTGATGAGATTAGGAGGTAAACGGAAGCTAAGTGGATTAATTTACTGCTCTAGAATTTGTCCAAATTTGTAGATGATTTACTACTACTGCAGATTTTGCAATTGAATTTGTGCATCATTCTACATATATTGAGAAATGAAACTAATTAGAAATTAGCAGAATTTCCCGGCCCGGAGGGTCCGCCGCAAAAATAGGTACAGTATTAATTCCTAAAAACGTCAAGCAAGCACATTCGATTTGCATAAAAAATCATGTCTTCTCGAGGAAGAGCGCGCGCATTTTCACAGTTCACATTTCATCTGCCATGCATTACAAATCATCATCAGCTCCTCCTCTAAATTGTGCACATCTCCTTCTTGTAATGACGACTAAAATTCCAAGAGCCCCCTGTCTATCAAATTCGCGAGAAATGTATACATATTTGTGTGAAGGCGTGGTGATCTTTTGAGAGGGATAACTAGGAAAAAATGAAAATGGGGATCCGCAAAGGAAGAAGGTCCATGAAAAGAACCTAATCGAATTAGGGGGGAATCTAGACACCTGACATCATCTATCTACTGGTGCGAATTCACTTAGCACCTGTGACACGGGCATAGCATTCCGTCAGGCAAATATCCGGAAAGGGATGAGCACCTCAAAAAGAACAATAGGCGTGAAAAATCGAACCTAGGGGAAGGAAGGAGGTTTTAATTAGGTTATGGGAATGGGAAACAACCTCTAAAAAGGAAAAGGACTATTTTTACAGTAGTGTTCTAAAGATAAGCATCTAGAAGGGCGCCATCATTTCGCGAACTGTCATCAATCACAACCAATTAAGTGAGTATATTTGAAAATGAGGAGGAGGAGGTTGTGTTTGAATCCTTCTTGAAAGAATAGGAGGATGGATAAAAAATCAAAATGTGTGGCGATTCGGATCAATTCAGAAATGAATAGAGAGAAAACGCCGCTATAAAATTAAGGGATTAGAGGATGAAGAAAGTTGGAAAGGAGGCTGTCCTCGATTCTGTTACGGTCAATTCGTCGCCTATTGTGCATAGCAATCCGATTGAGGATAATTAGCAAAAAGACAGGGAGAGCGCTACGCTTACTCATTTAATTGGCTAGGCGATGAGATCCACGCGATACCTGTCTTTTCCTTATCTCATGGTCAGCATCTAATTTGGTGTCGTGTGTTCACAAGCAGGTGTGAGAATGTGAGAACTCTCCGTTCGCTGAACGATTTTTTTTTCGGAAATTTCGAAAAATTCTCTTTCTTCTCGTGTTACGCGGCAATTTAGGACCATTGGGGTCATAAATGGCCTCACGTTTAGATGTCTCTACTATAGAAATGCATAATAATGGTTTATTTGATAGTTGTAAGGAGCTGAGGATCCGCGATACACACATTTATATTGCATTTGATGACTTGTTTAGCCATTTATGAATGTTTTTCTCTTCTCAAATATATTTTTGAGACTTTACAACAAAAAATGAAACTCCTTTGGCGCGGAGGAAAATTTTATTTTCCAATCGGGTTGTGTCAAATTTTCCGTAAAAGCGGACCACGATTAATAAAACATTGGTCTAAGAGCGTGCGGAGCATCAAATCAAAATTCATGCGCCGTGCGCGCAATTTAAATAATATTTTGGAGCCATGACAACGGGGGAAAAACTGTTTTTCTGCCCAAATTTCCCAATATTGACAAATTGAGATGTCCTGTGAATGATGATTGGCGAGGAAAAGGAGGAGAACTTGTAAATTAAATGAAGAAAAAGTTGACATGAGAAGAGTGGAAGATTAATGAGAATCAGATAAGACGAGTCTTGAAACAGTGTCACGAAAATTTTGGAATATTTTTGATTTCGAAA